GGTTGCCGGGCGGGTGTCAGGCAGCGCGCGGAGGGGGAGCTGTCCCTTATCCTAGGCAGGGCGCCTGGATTGAGAGCCTGTTCTGAAGATTCAATAGAGTATGGCCTTCCTGGGTGAGAAGGCTCGGTGTCTCTGTGCGGGAAGATGATAGTTGAAGGGGACAGTGTTGTCTGTTATGTTAGTGTTGCTTTCGACAATATTTCCGATGATAACTCACGTGTTATATCGTTCCGCTCACCAAGGGTCTTCAGCAACTGTACTCCATTCGGTCAGCTATAGCAATAATTCTTGTTGCCCGACTGCCTACATATGTTTTCACGATAGATGCAATCCCCGATAGTAGCAACGGCCCGCTGAGACTAAGAGTCTGCCATAGACGACGAATAAGCGACTGTCGTGGCATTCGCCGGATCCGACTGAAAAGTGGCTTGTGCTGTGAGGGAGCAGAGTCCGTTGCCCTGATTGTGAAACGCCATAATTGCAACGCTGAGAGTGCCGTCAAGAAGAAATCAATGGTCGTGTTGAAGCCTGGTGATCCATCAGTACGGCGTGAAGTAACGGAGAAATGGTAGCCGGAGGTCATACCACCCTGAACGAATCCTATAGTGGTCTGCACTTCTGGTGATTGACAAACCACGGACCCATCAGACGGTAGGTCATCCCACATGTAGTGAAAGTAACTGACTCGATTGGACTATTGAGGTCGCCAGAAGTTCCACCAGTCAGCTATGTGTCAGGAAATGGGATGTTCAGGGAGAGGGAGGACGGCATACTGCATGGTAGGGATCGGGTCCGCACTGCACGATAATTTGAACCACAGTCACCATGTTCACCACGACCTGTATTGCCATGCACATGAGGATGGATACCCGGATATGCTTATCGATGCTGCTAAAGCACGTGTAGAGGAAACACATCATGCCGGAGCGACTCAACATGGACGCAGTGACAGCTGGAAGACAGTCCATGAGTGTCTAAATTGCATGACAAGGAAAGCCACTCACCCAGCGGCTGGGAAATGAACTCGTTCTTCAACGCCATTTTTCTTTCCAAATCCGTCAGGAACCACATGTGCCTCCCGAGGCCATTCTCAAAGCTTGTCAATGTGTCAGAAGGAACTCGAGGCACATTTTCTTGCTCCAGAATGACCGACCTGCGCTGAATGAAGACCATGTGCGAGACATCAAACGCATATGCAGTGCCGTACAGAATATCCTCCATACCCCAGACTCTTTCCGGGGAACTAACGTGAGGCAACATCCATCGAATCCATGTCTTGATGGTATACCGAAAGACCAACGCTAGTCCTGCGACTCCTGTCAAAGCCTGGGGCATGATCCCGTCAATTATCTCTACTGTTGCCGCCGGGAAGCATAGGAGCAACTAACCCATGCTGCACAGATATACGGACCAGCTGCTCGAAGAATTGGCTCAAGTATCAGTGGGACGTTCACGCCTCCTTCTGTGCTTTCGCAGCTAAGTCTCAAAGGGAAGACACTCACCGTAGTTGATATCGGACCCTGATGCGGTGGACATTTTATGACCAAGGCTGAGCGGTGCTTTGAGTGGAGCTATTCACAAGGCAACTGAAGGAACGTCATGTTTTCAAGTAATGGATGCATGTTGCTGTAGGATGCTGAATCTAAGCGAAGTCGGGACTACAAATTCGGCTGAGCAAATTCTGAACAGGGTATGGAAGTGATGGAGATTCCGGCATAGAGTGCACCCCTATCCTTGACATTTCAGCCATGGAAGCATAGCAGGGCGCACGAAGAGAAAGTTCTTGACACATTGTCCGTTAGAACTCCAAGCACTCCTGACCAGCATTCGCGTTTACCCCCTGTTTCCCAGCCACAGTCATATACAGCATTACCAGGACAAGCGCTATACACAAATAAAATCTTCACTATAAAGCAGGGATGAGCAAACCAGAATATCTCATTGAATAGACACATCAATTTGGGCTCGTTTGGATAAAATCGACTGATACTCAGCAGCCAATGCTGGTGGGCATAGATCAAGGGAAGCAAGCCATTTGGAAGGCTTCTTGGCACTGAGCAATCGTACGATTAATAGGTGTACAGCATCTTCATTGGTTCAGGGCGTCCACTCTGTGCATGGGTCTACGAATCTCTGCTGGTAGTGGAATTAAACTACAGGGGTGATGGGCCACTAAGTGGGACGGGCTTCTTTGAGTGTCCTTACGGAGTAGAGAACAGCGCACGAATCAAGTGACCAAGTACCAATAGTCTACGAAATTCGAGGATGAATTAGTCTGGATGGCAGGACTCCTTTTACCGTTGACCCATTCGTCGGATCATTTCCCTATCACCATCACAGTGTAATCTCTTTCCATTCGCTGGGGACCAAGACGGCTTATGGGGAAGCACAAAAGGAGCATCAGGCCGCAAACAAATCTCGCCAGTCGACCGACTCTAGTTGCAAATTAATATTAGGAGCCGTCGAATTACCTTTCCACAATTAGATTGAATCAATTCCAGGCTGTATCCGCGATTCCCTCCGTACTCTGTGCAAGTAGGTTCACCAGTTATGGTATTTTGCCGAAATCCGTTATATTTCACAACCGCAGGATGACAATCATTGGACAAGATGAAGGTAGATTTGACAAGGATCATACTATCTGCTGCTTTGGCAAGTCATGTCTAATCTAAACAGAACTTTCCAGCTTCCTCATTTCAATCAAGCCCTCTCCAAATGGCGGATAAGCCTCGAATGCCACCCGAAGCCCAGCCAAGTCGGCCATTTGATGCCATTCGGCCGAGCTTCTCTCTCGGCCTCCATACAAGGCAACCATAGCGGCGTGCATCTTCGCGTAATTGGCATTCTTCGCATACTCGTGGATCAGCAATCGCGAGTGAGGAGCCATGGCCTCCGATATCTTCTTTAACAGGCGCAAGGCTTCTAGGTCCGGAAGGTTGTGAAGAATATGAGCCAAATGGTAAATCAGCGCCCCCTTGATCGGTTGCGGACTTTCGTCCTTGTAGTTCCAGGTAGCCAGGGTGACCCCAGGGATATCGGTAATATCATGATTGAACTCTTGGACGATCAGGTCAGAAGCCTGAAGCTGAGAAAATGCTGCCTTGAAATCGAGCAGCATCTCCCCGCGGCCTCCGCCGATGTCCACCATAGTCAGCGGAGTGGAACCTTGTGCATCGTTAAGGACCGATTCCAGGTCGTACCCTAAGGCTCGGACACGGTCAGGAGCGGTACTTGTTTTCATAAACTTGCCCACCATGAAATGATTGAAACTGTCCATGCGGCTCTCTGCAGCCATAATAGAATAAGCATGTTCCTTGGCGAGCTCTTCGTGGCCCATTGATTTGTAGGCAAACTGAAACGGAGTCTCCCGCTCTTTGAAAGGATACTGAAAGTTTTCTGACTCGAGCTTTCGCATCAGAAAGGCACCGGCAAGAAGGGCTTCCGTTGTACTATGAAGAATTAGCCACCGTACATTCAGCCAGTACGGACTGGAAGCCCTATCCTGAATCAGATCTTACAAGTGCACTGCTCCATGTTGAGCAGAAGGCGTGGCAGCCAGATGCTTCGTGATGGCATTGGCACGGTACAGATTCTCCCCGGCAAACTCGACAAAGCCTAGACCGGACATGGCATACAGCGTGTCCTCTAGAGACAAAGAGAGTTAACGTCGACCTCTACCCGACTTGTCTATTTGACAAAGGCCAACTTACGAATCAAACGTAAACCTAATTCCAGGTGTAACGAGTCAGGGCCGATGCTCTATTAGCTGGACAGGAATGGTACGTACATGGTACATCCTTTCTAGTTTTATCATCGGACGAATTTTGGAGGGCCGTCAAGACATCTTGGCCGCTCACAGGTTTGTCGAGATCCGCCAAGATATCGAAGAGCTTAAAGTAAACCGCAACAGGGACGAAACCGAGGGCAGCAGCCTAGATAGCCAAGGATGAGTTCACTTATCGGCTTTCGGGGGATCTTCAACTGACCGAGGTCACTGTACTCGCGAGTGCTGCTCCAGCAGCAGGCGAAGACATGATGCTTGATGGAGGAGAAACTAGCGGGCTGCTGATGCAGGCGTTCTGTGGCATGGAATAGATATCTCTATCGCGATCCCGCAGTATGCGTGGAATCATTCCATTGCTTTTGTGTCCTCTTCCCGATGGGAAGCAGCAGTCAGTCATTGCACTAAATGCACATTAAAAGCGCTGGTTGTGCACTAACTTAGGCCAGTTTCAACATAATTAAACCAACATGGTTTGTCTTATCTGATCCCTGCTATCACTTTTAGGTCATGCAGTAGTAGTATTCACTATTAATCTAGCGTGCTGTGCCGCAGATTTGGTTGCCCCTCATCAGAATGACCATTTGCCGCGACTACGAGTCCGGTTATAATCACTTCTACTGCCTGTTCTAGATCCCATTAGACGACAAACTGGCGGAGCGCTATTCGTTGCCAAGAACAACTAATATCGTTGAGTCGTCTAGGTGGTTTGCTTGCACGAAACGTTGCATCCTCGTGGTGGACATTATTGGGCAATTCGAACAAGACATTTCTCCGGCCGCGTGGCGTCTCTTCTTGTTAAATTCCTCCAGATAGTTTTTCCGCTTTCTAATCATGTTGAGTGTCATGTCTGATTAAAGTCCTTGTGCAGACTCCGCGGTGTAGTTGAATTTCCTTTAACCTCTGATCTTGCACCAGCTCGGCTGCCGTGTTGAACATCATGAGTGAGTCCAGATTCGAGGACGCAGTCAGCGAAACGGAAAAGCCCAATCTGAGCGCGGATGTCACTCAGGCAAAAGTAGAAAGTCATGTCACCGAGGTTCATGAAGAGGAGGGTCGAGATCCTCGGAAATGGAGCACAAGAAAGAAGCTTCTCGTGTTCATGGCACTGATGTCAAGCTCTATTTTGGCTGATGGGTACGTTGCTGTCTGGTAGTACGATCCACATATCTATCATGTGCTGATCGATCTGAAAACAGAGGAATGACCTGGGGTGCGACGCTGATCGTGCCTCAAGCGTTGGAGTGGGGGATCAGCGTTGATCATTCCGCGACCAGTATGAACTATGGCATGCTGTTACAGGGTGTTGGTGGTCTGATGGCCATACCATTGATCGAGGCATATGGACGGTACATCTTCATTCAGTGCATCAGAAGAAGTAATGAGATGGACTAACATCAGGATCAGTCTCCCGGTGTGGTTGTGGCCGCAGTTCATCACCACGTTCATGGTCCTCGGAGCGACGTTATCCAACAACTATAGCACCTTCACTGCCTTTCGATCTCTCCAGGGTTTCTTTGGCACAATCCCACAAGTTGTCGGTTTGCCGATTATCCATGATATGTATGATCCGAAAGGTATGCAGATTTTGGAACGAGTCAACCCCCCTCGACAATGGCTATAGCTAAAATTTCATTCCAGACTGGCCTCAGATGATAAATATCTGGTATAATCGAACATTTACACATTCATATACCTGCAGAATCGACTCTAACTGACTTCCAGGGGCACTACCTTCTTGATCGGCCCGTTTCTGGGCCCTGCCCTGGCCGGATATATCGGTGCTGGCAGCAATTGGAAGGTCTCGTTTGGCATCCTGACGGCCTTCTATGCACTGTCGACGATCCTGATCTTTCTCTTCGGACACGAGACGTACTATGCCAAGGGGCAGCAATGTCAGCGTAATTCGCGCCTGCAGTCGATGTTCGGAATCAAGAATCACAACCTACCTGTCGGGCGCACTCTGGCCTACTGGACCAAGATCCTTGCCATATACATCTTCAAATTTCCACTCCTCCTAACCGGAATTGCAACAATGGTCAACTTTTGCTGGCCGATCGGTGGGTTTTAATTTCCACAACATGAAGCTATATCTGACAATGCGCAAGGTATCACTGTGACCGTTTCGACGTTTGTTGCGCAGCCTCCCTACCTTTTCGATACAGTCCAGTCGGCATCATTGCGGTGGGCCCCAATCATCGGCGGCTTAGTTGGTAGGCTGCACCATGCCCGGTTTCGTGAATCGCGGCCCTGACTCTGTATAGGATATGCTTTTGGCTACTGGTTTAACGGCTGGATTGAAAAGTCTCGTCAGCAGAAGTGGCGTCCCGAGTACCGACTTCATGGTGTCTGGATTGCCATTGGAGTCATGGCTTGTGGACTGCTGACATACGGCATGACCCTGAATTACCATAAGCATTGGATTGGTCTCGCCTTTGGCTGGTTGATGGTTGTGTTTGGCATGATCTCCAGTACAGTGTGAGTCTGCCAATTACTCATAGCATTTGACTCGATCGGCTAATTACTGTACTTAACAGCTCGATCACGGCATACAATCTCGAGAAATATCCCGACCAGTCGACAGTAGTCTCAGCCATCATCAATGCCTGGCGTACAGCCAGTGGCTTCTCTGTCGGATACTTCCAGCCTTCCTGGATTGCCAAAGACGGAACTGCAGCAGTTTTTGGAACTCAGGTGGCGGTAGTCGTTGCGGTTCTGATCCTCACTATCACCCCTGTCATAATCATCGAAGGACGGAAAGCCAAATCCACGATGGGTGAGACATGATTGGTGGCTGAGATCCTTCTTCTGTTCGTTGCATCTTCAAACTGTCGGGCTGTTGGCTCATCAGAGGTCCAAAAAATACAATACTTTTTCTTGTTTTTGTTCGAGTCCTATACCGTCGTCATCGGATGACGACTCCTCAGCACCTATTCCACGTGGCAGGTGCATTATTGGGAGTATTGTACCAGAAGGCAGTTTGTTCGATACTATCACCCATGAAAGCATCATTGAATAGGCTCTCATGGGTATCTTCGATAGACCAGGAAAAGTCGTTCCATTGCCACCCATTCGGGACAGCACTCGCGCCGTCCATGAGAGTGGGCAGTTGATAACCAGCTGGAGCCTGTAGCAAAGCTGCAGATATATTATCTTGAGTTTGAGCTTGAGAAGAAGGAGCCAGCTGGGACGATTCATTCGCGTTTGTCGCAGTCATCTGTGTTGACTTCACATTCCGACGGATATGTAGCCTCCCGAGTAGAGGAACTTGCAAGGTCAGCGTCTGCTCAGAGGCAGTGTTTTCTTCCTGCCGTAGAAGCTGATTCAGGGCACACAGCGTATTAAAGGCTTGTTCCGCAAACTCAAAGCCCGTAGGGTCCTTGGATCTTTGTCCCATAATCTTGATCACTTCGGCGATCACGCCCTGAATTTGACTGGTGTCGACATGAAAACTGCGCCGGTCGGTCGGGGAGGTGTTACGGGACATGAGCAAGAGAACCGCGGTTGCTGTAAACGCTTGCAAGTCTATTACTCGTGCAACGAACACGCCTGGAGGCAGTTTTCGTCTGAGGATAATATATCGCCTTGCCACAGCATCGCAAGCGTCCATGCAGGGTAGCCGACTATGCAAATACTCCCGTCGCGGGTCTCGACGCAACGCCATGGGAAGGTATACTCGCATCAAGATTGAATAGTGAAAGAACTGGACTATTTGGTCGGTGTCGACTGGCGATTCCTCGTTGAGAAGCCACCAGGTGCTGGGGGTCTGAGCAGCAAGGGCACCCAGATCCCGAGACATCTCCAGAGCAGTCATGTGGAGTTCGGCCGCGGGCCCCTGACTGGCACTTGATTCATCTATCTCATGTATTCGAACAGCAATATCCAGCAGCTTTGTGAGATATACGTTGGACTGAACCACGCCGTCGACGATAATCTGTAGACTGGGCGACGGTTGGTAGCGCCGAGTGTCGGGTGGTAAATTCAAGATCATTCCCGATAGCCTTTCAATGTTGCAGAGCAATTCCCAAAGTTGAGCCATGCTGTAGGAATGCTGGTCATCGTTTCCGCTAATCCTGTCAAGCCGAACTGCCTGATGTATACGGGGCAAGCCCATCAGCTCTGCGATGGCAATGAGCCGCCGTATTGTCAACCACGACTTCTGGAAGTTTCCCTGACCGATATTACTACAGAATCAGCACGCGTTCATATCGCTTCACTTAATCGTAAAGGGGGGAGGGGGGTGTTCCAAAGATATAAGAGATGTGTTGCGAATCTCACAGTCGGGCAAAATGTATGGCCATTCCAAGTCCTTCTCCCGTTGCGAGCAATCGATCATGACACAAGAGTGTACTCTCTATCGTGTTTGTAATTTTTCGACAAAGGTCAGACCTCTTCTGGCATTTCCTGGGCTGATCTCCACGATCCTCGGTCCCTTGCGGAAGTTGTTGGGCCGTGATCGCCAGCGCTAGGAGCCACGAAGCCAGAGTAACGATGTTCACATCAGGGCTACACATCTCCTCGTACCTGACGAGGAGTTCTTGCTGTGAGACAACCGTACAGGGTTGCGGTAGGAGGGTATGTAGCAAGGTCAGCCAATCAAATGAGGATCCTGCAATCTCGATCACCTCATCTTTTGGCGGGATTAAACTCTGTAGTCGAGGTCTCATGAGACGCGAGAAGTGCGCGGAGACTTTTCCCTGCCGCTCTTCATCTTTGTTCCCATTTCGCGACGTGTCGACACTGAGCCAGTCATTCTGGAAGAGTGAGCGCAGATGGGATGGACGATCTGTCATGGGGAAATCCGACCCGCTACTTTCGACATCGGACTCTTGCGCATCAGGACCTTGAACAGTGTCAGAGAGTATTACCTGGGACGGTTGGCTCCCAAGCTTGACTTCAAGATCGTTGACAATTTTTGTGAGCTGAGTAACCTGGAATTCCAGCTGTGCAATCCGTTTTCGAGAGGAGAACCGTGCTCGAGAGGACCTCCGTCTGGCTGATGACTGCGCAATACATGCTGAACCTCGCTCTTCACATTGCCGACACGACTTAGCATCTTCAGATATTCGGACACATCGAACCTTGCGCCGTCTGCCTGCCTTGTTGATTAAAAACGATGGAGTCTGGATGATGGTGGTCTCATGCCGGCTTACACTCTGTGCAGCTCTTTGTCCCTTTCCGCGGCGCGCGACTGAGATCGCTATGAGGACTCGACATTGCCAAAATAAATTACTTCTATAATTGTTTGTGATCCATCGGACACCGAAGCGAATTTCCTCCGTGCGCGTTGTCACCGAGATGATGTAGTGGAAGATGAAGCGATGAAGAGGGAAGTGTGTTCGGCCCCGGACGAAATTTTGGGCCGCGGAGCCGTTTATGAGCCGACGCCGTCAGCCCTGTCACTTGATTGGCTGCTCGTTCTGATATCCCAGGCTTCACCACGCGGTTTCAACCAGATAGGGGGCACTATAGGGGTCTACACGAGCTGAGTGGGAGCTAAAGAAAAATCCATATCGACAATGCTTCGCGTTGTCGGGGCCCAAGTCACCGAGCACCGATCCCGATACATGATCTATATATCTCCGCCCCGGTGGGTATACAGCGTAGACATATAGTCTCAACATCAAATCTCACAAAAGCGAAGCCATAATATCGACGAGAAAGTGACCACCATGCCGCTTGACAAACGCTCAGGAGGACCGTATGCCTCTCCCAACGCAGCACTTGGGGGTTTACCCAGTGTTATCCCCGACATTCCCATCTGCGCCGTCTTCATGGCCCTCTATATCGGATTTGCAGCTACAAACATGACCATCCTCCAGAAAAATCGTCGAAGAAGCCACAAGTTCATGATATCGGGAATGTTATTTGGTTTCTGCATGGCAAGAACCACAACCCTAGTCTTGCGCATTGCCTGGGCCAATCGACAGCATAATGTCCGACTCGCCATTGCCGCCAATATCTTTGTCAATGCCGGTGTGCTCCTGGTATACATCATCAACCTGATTCTTGCACAGCGTATCCTCCGAGCGAAACAGCCTCGAATTGGTTGGAATCCCATTTTGCGGGTGGCATACAAGATCCTTTACGCCCTCATCGCTGGAGCCTTGGTCATGGTGATCACGTCAACTGTTGTCAGCGTTTATACGCTGGACAAGCATACGCACTCGCAATGCCGCGATGTCCAACTGGCAGCCACGACCCTTCTTCTCATCATTACCTGTCTTCCTATCCTGCATATCCTCGTTGCGTTTTTGTTTCCACGATCCGAGCAGCAGGAATCATTCGGAAAAGGAAGTATGACCAGCAAAGTCATCATCGTGGCTCTATCATCTGCGCTGTGCATACTCATAGCGGGCTTCAAGTCCGGCATAAACTGGGAAACCCCTCGACCAGTCACCGACCCAGCCTGGTTCCATTCCAAGGCCTGCTTTTACGTGTTCAACTTTGTCCTCGAGATCCTTATCCTTACTCTTCTGACTTTCAGTCGGATCGACAAGCGATTCCATATTCCCAATGGATCTACAAAGCCTGGGGACTACACTCGTCTGGAACTGCAGTTGGATAAAGAAGAGGAAATGGATCAGGTTCCTGCTTCAGTTGAGATGAAGAATAGTGCGTCACCGTTATGAAGTGGATGCCGAAAGAGAACGGCGTTCATAAATTGTAATATTAAAGTTTTAGAAAACCTCCCTGAGAATATTGATAATAATTGACAATGTCATTACATGCATTTCACCTCATCTCAGACTGTCTGTAAGTAATGTCATAGCATGAGGTTCGTATGAACCAAAGGCGTTTTTGAACTGCATGGTGCTAAACAATAAGGACCGTCTGGTTCAACGTCTCCAAGTATGGCCAAGCGGACGTCTGCATGATTCAGTCAGCATCCACTCACTCCATCGATGAAGAGTGGAGGCAACTTACAGCAACCAAGGAAAAATGAGCGAGGTTGAGTTGCGCGTTCCCTTTTGGGATAGCCTGAGGAATGGTCACGGTGATGTTTTGATAGGGCGGCTGGCTGTATTCATGTTGCTCTGGATCGTAGGGACCGATATATAGAATAGTGCCCATGGTATCTGCCGCGGGATAACACTTGTACTCCACGCAAGAAGATAGACCGATCACAACAGTCACTTCCTGAGACCCTGTGAGGGTCATCTAGAAGACATCTACTTAGCTACCATCCTTATGTTGCAGGAAGATCAGAAACATACAGGCTTTTGAATCTGCACCACAGTGGAACTTCCAGGAGCTAAATTCTGTCCTGCGGGCAACCCGAGGACGACATTCTGGGAGGACACAGTCGCCGCAAAGAATGTAAGGAAGTAAGGGACCTTCATGATGGCAAAGAGCGATCCCACGGAAGCTCGTGTAACTGAAGCGAGAAGTGACAATGAATTCGTTGTTTCAGTTCGAAGCGGACGGATTGTTGATGGTTCTTATAGTCTGTAGGACATTAGCTCGTCGAACTTGCGCATACATCCAGGCATCCGATATGAGAAAATAGACAGAAGATCATTCGATGAGTCTCTGCATGTCTCAAAATTTGGATGCACCCTGCAAAGCAACCGTACACAGCAGGTGTCCCAATCAGGCAATCTGTGCTGAAGATCAGACAACATGATATCACAATGTTTGTTCAACACTCTTCACGTGGTCCCCCACGTCCTGGTCGGCGAATTGTCTCGCTGTCTTCTTGACTAGGCTGGCTGTAATAGGGGGCCTGATTCCAGCGGGAAGACGGACGTTATAAATATAGTCCTCTTCAGAGATTGGATCTTAGAGATGTCCGGAAGATAGACGAAGCGTATTGCAATCTGATTGGATAGGATGCCAAAATCGAGTGTCCGAATCCTGGCGGCCTGAAATCCTTCCACCTTGCTTCTTTCCCTGGCACTCAGCACCAGACCAATCCACTCAGATTCTCCTCGGAGCACATTTGTCACGCAGTCGATATTTATCCTCGAACGATCCTCCCATACAACCTCTGGCATAGTCCAGGATACGATACAATGGAAGACAACCATAAAGTCCTCTGAATCTTAATACGACTCATGAATAGCCCTTCATACTGCGATCTTCTTTTCAGCCCAAGATGAGACTTAGCAGAGAGAAAGCCAGTGCCGAGGTTGCCTTGATAAGCACAGAACAACTCTCAAGTGCTTCTCGCCTTGATTTTAGGCTAAATGAAGACGGGAGTCATGAAGCCTGATAATATGTGGCGTTGAGTCGCCCTCATAGAATTAATCGACTTGAGATCTGCTGATATCAGTGACATTATATCTAATGAATATGTGAAAAATGTGTTGCCACAGGTTCAACAGTCTCACATACTACACTTAATAAAGCCCTCCCTAGACTGACCTTGCAGAACCATGGTTAAATAAGGAGGTAGGACAAAATCCTCCTTATGAGTACCTTGAGTTGAATGAGCACAGCCGATGACCTCTTTCATCAAAGTCCCTCAGAATATGCTATGTTATTGCGGCGAGGCTTCGCCAACCCTTGTCTTGGAAGATTAATAGCATTAGCCCACCTTGAATTCTCGACGTCTTGAATCCTGGAAGCACTTTCCCAAGATGCTGGCTCATTGCAGTTATCAGACCCCAGTGTCTGCAAAACAAAAGGATTTATTAGTCGTACGTATCTGTCCGGGATATGAATGAGCCTCCTGACTGTCGAGGTAACTGTATGTGAGTTCCTCATACATTGTTGTTTCATTAGGGACAGCACTGCGGCCGTGTGCTTATTACCTGCATATGAATCCATCATAGGCAGTTTATCATAAAATATGCTTAAGAACGACCTTAGCCGCGATGCTCCAGGTGAGATTGAACAATTGGCGAGACAGAGGATGGAAATGCCCTTGAAGAGCCCAACGTTAAAAAGCATCTGTGTCAACTTGCTACCTATGATACTAAAGCTATAATAAACTGTATGACCATTTTCTGAACATAGTCATTAGATTGCTCGCATTTTGCAAGGATTCTGCCAGGCTAGCTACTCTGTCCTTACTTCCAACTATATTACTTTACTCGCTGTGATTTTGAGTCCAGGTCAAACCCAAGCAACGTCTTTGCAAATTTGTCAACCCGAGTAGAGAGATCTCTGTATGGCTATCCTCGGGTCAATTCATTTGTCTGCCTTGTTAACGTTGTGTTTCAATGTTGTTGGTTTTATCTGCAGCATCCGCCGCCACCAACTGCTTCAAGATCGACCCTGATGTTTTGGCCCCTCTGGCAGGACGATGGAGGCTGTGTTGCAGCCATGCAATCCTCTAACATTCTAAAAGCCAACATGTTGGTGAATGTTATCAGGATAGAACATATTCATTGGGAATTGTTGTACTGTTCTGTGTCAGCCTTGGAAATCATGGGTGATTGAGCGCCTACATAATGCTCCGGCAACATGGTCTTCATATGTTCATTTATTTCCTTTGACGAAGCAGATGACTATCAAAAAGCTGTTCACTACATCCAGTTCTTGTCCATCAGAATTATCAGATCATGGCTGCCCTGCCTTTTTTCTCCCGTCTCTCTTCACGGCGCTCAGATTCACTGAGTGATACAACACTAACTGAACCAAGGCTTTCTGATCTTTCCAACAAGTCTCTACATACTTACTATCAGCCCGACCAGAAAGCTCCTCGCCGCTGGGTTGTGAGCTTCAAATCAAGACTCAACCCTACAATTGTAGGCAAGAAGAAAGCCAGGAGAAATCGTGTTCTTGTTGCCGTCCTGCTTATCCTTGCACTGGGTGGTATTGCTATACTGTAAGTATTATCCTTGTGAAGTCAAATCTTCCTACTGACACTTCCCAGGGTGTGGTTCTCACTGGTCCTCACATTGATCGATCGGCTCACACCTGCTCTCCCATCGAACGGACTCCAGAGAATTGTCAAGACATGGAAAGGGCCGACAGACTCAGTCGCTGCACTATCTCCCTGGCCGGAAGACTTCAGTCAAGGCATAACACCGGTCCAATGCCACTCTCATAATGACTATTGGCGCTCAGTTCCTCTATATGAGGCCATGGCAGCAGGCTGCACAGGCGTGGAAGCAGATATTTGGCTCGAGGGCAACGATCTGCTCGTCGGCCATCGGAAGCGCTCTCTGTCCCCTGATCGTACATTGAAGAGCCTCTATGTCGACCCCTTGACAATAATCCTCTCGAGTTTAAACACCAATTCATCCTCCAACAGCTCAGTTGGCGTATTTGACGTCGACCCTACAACAAGCCTTACTCTGCTGATCGACATCAAAACGGACGGAAATGTCACTTGGCCGGTACTCCTCGATCAATTGGCTCCTCTTCGCTCCGGAGGATGGCTATCCCACTGGAACGGGACAAGCAAAACGCTAGTCCGTGGGCCTGTTACCGTCGTCGGAACCGGAAATACCGTGTTTGACTTGGTGGTCGCAGAGGAAGATCGCTACGTCTTCTTCGACGCCCCATTAAACGACCTTGCTCAGAACTCCACCTACACATCAGAGAACAGCTACTACGCCAGCGTCTCGCTGAAAAAGGCCGTCGGTGTTGTATGGCCTTGGGGCCCAACAGACAGCCAGAAACAGAGCATGCAGAGGATGATCAGCGCTGCCTCAGAGAGAGGTTTACTGTCTCGGTTCTGGAGTATCCCCTCCTGGCCTGTCAGCCTGCGCATGAGGCTATGGCGGTTTTTGGTCGATGGTGGGGTCGGCATGTTGAATGTAGACGATGTAGTTGAGGCGACGAGATGGAACTGGGACTGGTGTATTGTGGCAGGGTTGGTGTTGTGTTGATCATTTGGGGGCATACCCCGTAGCTCATGTATAGATGCAATAACCTCCAATATATATGCCAAGATGTTGGTTGTTTAGTTAATAATTAGCGATCCCATATTGGTCACTCTAAGCAAAGAGATTCTCGGCCCCCTTTGCTTATGTCGTCTAGGGTTTTGTGGTGAAACTCGCACTGAACCGCATTTTTCATTGAGAGTTTCTGAGTTCAAAGTTTGGCTCTTGGTAGGCATCGATGTCGTTAGACATCTAAAAAGTTATAAACATTTATTCCATGCAAGACCGTGGCCCTACTACAGAGACACAACTGAGGCAAACAATTCAAGCCACCTTTGAGGTCGTCCATCTCCCATTCACCCCCCTCCCTAGCACCGTTTGACCTGACTCAAGCCTCGTGCCGAGTTGACCAACCTATCCACCAACCACGTAATGTTCAACCAGCTCGCCCACCGCACTAACGGAGCAAACGCCCCGTGCCAGATGACGCCCCTAGCCCCGCTGAGGATGTCCTTGACCAACTTTTCGGCGAGCACATCGACGTTCATGGCCTGGCGCTGGTGGTCCATCCGCTCCTTCCACGCCGCGTCCTGGACGCCGTGGTAGTACGACGTCTCGGGTAGGCCCATGGGACCACCGGGCTTACCGAACATGGGCGTGTCGGCGGACCCGCACATGGACGTCACGACGCGCACGCCCAGTGGCTCGAGCTCGACCCGCAGGGTTTCCGACATGCGCGCCACGGCGGACTTGGAACTGGCGAAAATGCCTGGTCAAGAGCGCGCGCGCGTCGCTCGGTTAGCCATAGAGAGAGAGAGAGAGAGTTGCAAGCGCTGGCCGACGGAAACTAACCCGCCCACACCATGTTCAAGGCCCCGTCAATGGAGCTCTGGTTGAAGACAACTCCCTTGGCCTCGATAAGCAGGGGAGCAAACGCCTGGACCATAGCAAGAGGGCCCCAGACGTTGACGTCGTACAGCCTCTTCGCCTCGGCAACGTCGGTATCTAGCAGTGGGCTGTTGAATTCGACGCCGGCGTTGTTCACTAGGACATCGAGGCTCCCGCCCGTTCGTTTCGTGACTATGTCCTTACACTGCGCGATGGTCTTCGGGACGGTCACGTCCAGCTCGAGGATCTCGATGTCGCTTAGCTCGGTGAGATCGGCGGTCTTCGAGGGATTGCGCGCCGTGGCGAAGACGTAGAACCCTCGCTGGTGAAAGTTCTTGGCCATTGCCCAGCCGATGCCGCCTGTGCTGCAGCCCGTGATCAAGACTGTCTTCTTCGGCAGCGTTGCCATATTGTAGTGGTTATTGGTGTGGAAGACGGCGAAATGGACAGTTAAGTAGAACGATACGTTATTTCTCGATAATAATAAGCGGAAGCTTCGATCTTGCACAGCAGCTGATGGGATCATGTCCGAGGGAGAGTTGGAATGTTGTTATTTGTAAGCATGAGGATCTCTCTTCCCTCGGATTTACTTGTTAGTAAAAGGTCCGTAAAGTCCGAACACGCCGGACAGCGACTCGAGAATCAGAGTATCTATTTTTCTATGAACGCCTAGGCTCCTTGATGCATGAAGGGTTGACGTCTTTGCCCACCGCCCACAACAAATCATGCTATGCCTTTCCCGAATAGGAGACTTACAATGAACAGTCTAAAGTCATGCAGTATAGAATAAGGTATATAGAGGTGGATATACGAGCCCTGTTATTGTGCAATATTAACTACTAATATAGACTAAAGATTCTGCTGGAGAATGGTCACTAAACGCACGCATCTACTAATCCTAACTATTCCCCTGCCACTAATTAGGGCCTAGATACTCCTCATGCCCTCTTTAGGGTTGTGCTCGCGCTTTCAAGCATCACATTGCTCAGGTGATAAGTATAGAGAAGATTATGAGGTTGCATGAATTTATAGATCCACAAGATTTGCTGGGCTTTTACCGTCCAGATATTGATTCTGCAGACACCACTTGATACAGAAGTTGATATGCATATGTATGCCATTAGCTGGGTAACCATCATTACCTATTACTGGAGATGCACCTATAAACTGGTAGAACCATCTTAAATTGAGATTATGGAAATTATAATAATGATTGATTGATTGCTCTTTTCTGATAGAAAGTGCACAGTGTCTAGCTGCGTATAATGTTATAGGCTTAGGCTGCATTCGGGTGATGCCACAATGGGATGTTATCCCTGGCCTATTGAGTCACGCTACAGCGTTCTATGAAGGAAATAAAGGCTTGCTCTTGTGTACCACATTTCATAATTGAGCCTCCACGAGTAGAATCAGTGAAATAAGGGCGAATCATGCTTGAAGGTCACATTCCCTCCAATCAGACAATATAGTCGCATTATCACCCAAGCCACTAGCGGCCCCTTCTGACTAGCCCGGCGATACGAAATGCAAAGGAAAGGGGTTTTCAGCCTCGTCTCGCCCATCAGATGACAATCCCTAAGCTTAGGCTTAAATAAAGCCATTCCCAAGAAGATTCTTGGTAAGGCAGTCTTGAAACTCAGTTGAGGATTCATCACCCACCAAGGTCAACATAACCACGCTCCAACTCAGAAAATGGGGAATTGCTTCAGCCAGGATGGCAATCAAAATTATAATGAGAGTATGGAAAACGGACCACGAAGTGCCCGGCCAACTCGAAAATGCGTATGGAAGCCCAATCCTCTTGACGTTTATGAACCATTTGATTAATCAATGAGCAAAAATAGAGAAATTGTGGCTACCTTTACGATGCGAACAACTACCACGAGTGCGGAAAGCCCAATTACAATAGAATGCGACGCGAGAGGATGGACGATGACGATACAGCCTGGTGAGGATATCCAGAAACATTGAAGAAATCATTGAGGAAACGATGCCTTGACGAAGACATCCATGTCCAACACTGACTCGGCGGGGTTGGTGAATGGAGTGAGGTTGACTGGCTGAGGTATAGAGTGAGGGATATTATGAATATACTGGCCAATGTATTACGGGCTTGAGCCAGCTAGACTGTATATAACAACCTTGGTCTGTCAAGATGCTTCCTGGCTGCCTCTACTAATCGGTAATTGTCATTTTAGTGGCTTCATTCTTCGTCCCGGCGGTGTCTCTTTGCTCTCTGCATAAAATCCATCCAGAGATTGTTTATGCGCATCGCGAAACCCTTGGACTCAGCTCTTGCTGTATTCAAGTACTTGACTGTTTCTTCGAATGATTTGATCAGGTAGAGGTCTTTGTCCATTCTCTTTCTCACCCGATCCAGGTCAGCAAGAGTTCTTTCCGCTTTTTCCAACATTCCTAGCTCAATAAAGAGGTCCGCTTTCGCTAGCTCTATCGAGAACAGGAACGGACTGGTTTCATCGCATAGGCATCTCGCCCCATATGATCTTTTGTAGTCTTCCAAAGCACTGGCGTGATCTCCTTGCTCTCGTAGCACATCTGCCCTGCTCTTCAACGTGTAATAGTATCCTAGCGGCAGTTGGGGATCGGACGCTGCTTTCTCATAGAACTCCAGGACCTCGTCAAAAGCCTTTTGAGCCTCATCGAAGCGCGCCAATTGACTCAAGACAACGCCCATATTATGCTTCGTCGACATCGTCTTCACATGTGCGGGGCCCAAGACCTTGAGTTGTTGTTTGTATACATTCTCTAATTCGACCAAGGCTTTCTCCCGCTCACCGACAAGCGCATATGCGCGTCCACGATCCGCCTTCATAAGCAATGTCCGTGGATGCTCCTTTCCCAGATTCTTAATGGTGCCATCGATGGCCTCGTCGTACTTTCTTACAGCCTCTCGTTCGCCTCGTTGTGCATGGATTGCTGCCATATCCGCCAGCACAAAATTCGCTCGTTGGTCGTGTTCGCCATATGTCCGCCAACCTTGGAGAGCGTCCTGGAACTTGCGCAACGCTTGCGACATCTCGCCTTGAGCGGAAAGCATGCTCCCCTGACAACTGATTATGTGCAGTTTGGCTTCTTTGTATAGAGGCTCGCCCTTCTCACAGATGGAGAATGCTTCACCATAAGCCCTTTCTGCGGCTTGGAAATCACCTTGCTCTCTGAATATGTTGCCTTGATTGACCAGGATCACGCTCTTTGTGACAGCGGATTGTTCTGGTAGATCACTGAATGCATTGATTGCTTTTTTGTACCACTGCATAGCTCGGTCATAGCTTCCGAGTTCTTTGTTGATCAAGCCTAGAGCTATCATGGTCTGAGTGCGCTCTGACGGGAAAGAATATCTGTGCTCCTCGTAGTAGTCATGGCACGACAACATGAGCTGTTCGACATCTACATGTTGCCCCGAGAGCAGCCTAGTTTTAGCGGATTCGTAGGTTAATCTCATTTTCTTGGCCTCGAATGAAGAATCAGAGGGCAAAGCCAAGGTCGACCTGTCTTTCAAGACGGCATCAGCTTGTGGCAGTAGCGTCTTGAGATGTCGCAAATCCTCGGTTTGGATCAGGAACGACTCAGTTGAGTGCTGCATGAAGGCCTCCGAGACCAGAGAAAGAGCAATTCCATAAATATGGCTGATCTTTTCAGGATCATTGTTAGCGAACCAGGTATTTGCAGCAAGGGAAACAATGGAGTGGACTTGATATATTTCTCTTGTGCGATCGATACGATGCGAAACAAGACTGAACGCCATCAGGACGCCCATGGCCATCTCAAAGTCGCTCATTTGCTTCAGGCCAAATATATTCACTCCACAAACGAGCAAGAGATCTTTGGGAATGCTCTCGCAATTGAGGAAGGAGAGAGTACCGAGGAGATCGGCTGCGATTGTATTCTGTTCGCGGATCTTGGCGAAAGACATGTCCCAAGTCCTAGCAATAGGCAGTTGCAGCCGAGTATCTAGGTTGATCGGCATGGGACCGCACTCAAATAGCTGCCACGTTAATGCGCTATTTCCCTTGAGTCCTTCGAGGTAGTGGTTCACATTTGTTCTTGTGAAACTGATGTAGCCGGCTGCGTGTTTGATAGCCAAAGGTAGGTATTGGAGGAAGTCCAAGAGCTCGATGATTGCGGCCTTGTCGGAGCATTCCGTTGCGAGGGACCGGAACATATCAAGAGCTTCATCTCGATCCATCCCGTTTACGTTGATCGCAAAGCTGGGGTGTATCAATTTGGTTTCTAGTATGTCCAGGATTCGCCGATCCCGGGAAGTGAACACAATCGTGCCTCGGTGGATAGGAAGAAAAGCCTCTAGATACGCAAACATTTCTTCCCAGTTGTCTGAGGCATCGAGTATCATACGCCAATTTCCAGATTTGGTGGAGTCGAGCCATTCTTTGAGGAGAGTGCCGGCGTGATGCTGGGCTGTGGTGGCCGAAGCGAGGCCAACTCTCACGGCGATGTCGGAGTAATCAGCCATGAATTCCTGCTTTGAGGTACAGTTGGCCCAGAATACGCGGCATTTTCCACGCCACGCATAGGCGAAATGTAAGGCAAGCTCTGTCTTTCTGCGAAGTGTGAGAATGATTTCGCCTCCCAGGCTGGCAGGTTCTTACCCACAGCCCCCCATGCCAAAGAGCGCTATCCGAACATTGGATCCATTCTTTTCTGCATCCAGCAAAGACTCGAACTCATCACAAATTTTCTGACGGACCACGAAGCCGTCATTCCGTCTTCCTGGCACCAGGAAAAGCGGTTCTGGTAAGCTTAGTGGTCAGTGCCAAGCAGAAGATCTCATTGAAAACGAATGGTGTTCGTTACTCATACCATTCTGCTCAAAATCAAGGCTATATGACGGGTCAGAGTTTATCCCTGAGACCACTGTCTGTGTACCTAGAACATGATGCGGATGAATCACTGAGAGCAGCTCTTTAGTATACGCTGCTGCAGTTGCAGCCGCATGACCCTGCCACTGCTTATTCTTATGTGAATCCGCATAGTCACAGATGCCTCGAACAACAAGGCACGGAAAGTTGTCCATCAGCCCAGCCGCTTCCATTTCAAAACACAAAATGCCGAGTTCCTGGGCAAGCTTGTCCCTGGTGCGGCCATCCTTGATCACTTGGTTGCCCGATGCGATGAGACCGTAGTGAACGACGGGCCCATGTCTACGTCGAGGAGCTCGGGGTACGGATCTATTCGTATCACAGCTGTCGCAATTCTCCATTCCATGATGGTCATATACAGACTCAAACAGCCTGTCTTCATCCTGGCCACGGCATGCAAAATTCGACTGCATGTTCGGGTATCTCTCTACCATTTGCAAGAGAATTTGTGGAATGCGATTCACTTCCAGCATCATCTGATCGGATTGTAAGCGGGACACCGCGGTCAAGAGTATCTGAGGTGGTTTATTCAGCGAGCCAGTCCGTTGAAAGAGACCACCGGACACTGCTTTGCCGAAGTCATACTGCACCACACCCCCGAATTCTCCTGTCGGTGTACTGACCACAACATCGCCCAGCCGGATATCGACTTTTGGGGTCGGCACTCCCCCTCCAATACCAACCAGGAGGCCAAACCGTATGGACCTGAAGGTGGACAACATTTGTGTTGCCACTCTCGCAGCTGATGTTGTGCCGTATATACCACTAGGAAGACACGCAATCGCAATATTATGAGAAGCTATCCCACCGAGTACATAAGTATTGCAATCGCTGGGACTAATTGGCAAATCGGGGTGAGTCTCGTCGAGCATTGCCCTGGCCGCTGCCATTTCGATGGGAAGAGCACATAACCATGCGACGGTATAATCACGATGGCAAAACCTTGGTGTTGTCATATTTCTTCTTTTGTCGATGGGCGTTCGTCTTGGTTGTCGAAAAACTCGAGCCAGAAAGGGGGGAAATGATTGATCTGCTTTGACAGAGGAATGCTAATGTTTATAATTGGCTGCAGGCTTTAGTGTGAAACTCCAAATTAAACACCTACAGCCAAAGCCCGAAGTCCCGAACGACTACCATCCATGAAGGCTGGCCTCTGGTCAATAATAGTCTTTTTATCAAGGCATACTTACCATCAATGTTTATAATGCATATTCTTTCATAAGTACCGATATTCTATCTGTAAAGGATGTCTGTGAAGATTAAAGCGGAAGAACATGACATAAGATGGAAACTACTCAAAAGTATCAACACGGACAAACTCTCCCTCATAATTGAAAACTTCCACAGCATCAACGTCGAATGTCAGACTGATGTCGGTCAATTTCTGTGCTGTAAAGAGGCCTGTCGAGTTCGACTGCAACGCCAGAGTAACGACGCCCAGAACATCATCCTTCAGCGAGATTTCCAACTGTGTGTCGGTTTTAGAGACATTTGGTTTAATCTGTGTCATCGCCTCGGAGTGATGGAAGACTCTATGAACTGGAGCAAGTTGGCAAATGACGCTCGCTTTGGCAAGACCGCTGAGTGAAGAGCCTTTGGGAAAGTATGCGCCAAAAATGACGGGTTCCAGCGCACTCTTTCCCGACACAAGGGTAATTCTTGCTGTGCTGGTCACGGACAGGCAAGTGCCTATTTGTCGAAGATCTACGTCCCGAGAAGAATAGAGACTTTTTTGCGCCTCGATGGGAAAGTCCTCAGGCAAGGTCATTGACAGCTGACTCAAGAGGGGGAGATTCATCATCAGTCCCTCTGAAGGAGTCTGTGTCTTGATTGAAGATGTGAACAGTTCCCTCAGCAGCATTTGTGCATCTCTGACTGATGAAGGGGGCTTCTCAAACGGCAAGGGTTTGACCGACTGTAAAGGCCCCAAGACTCGGGGCAGACCCACGAAAAGATTTTGCTAGCCTGTGTTAGCGTATAGTCCTTTTTTTTTTAAAAAAAAAAAAATAGAGCAGTTTGATACGCACCAGTGACTTGTCAAGTACTTGGTCAAAAGTAGCGAACGATACACCGGTCGAATCCGTGGCAGTTCGGTCTTGAAATCCGGCCAACAGGCAGTCTGTCACAGTTTCGACCTTTGTCAAACAGGTGGGGAATTCATCCGGCTCGATACCGGCTACGTGCAACTGCGTCAGGAGCATCAAGCGGAGCAAAGGTCTAAAGTCCTTAAACGAGATAAATCCGTTCGTCAATGTTGAGTTTGACGAAGGAAAATGTTCAGCGGGAGGATACTCAGGCCCTTTGGTCACAGCGGTCGGAAACCGTGCATTGCGCCTAAAGTTACCATAGGTGATCAGATCTAGCGCTTTCTGGAGGTGAAAGTCCACTTCGACGTTGCGAGATGTATTGGTAGGAGCTGCTTGCAGGTTCGCCATGCTCTGAAACAATAGGGTGCGTTGTGCGGCATTGACACGGTCAGGGTAGATGAGTGACGCTTCGTCATCATCTTGATGAAGAAGCTTGCCACCATCTAATCTTAGAAGAATAATAATTCCTGTGCGCAGGACATCGAGCGACATAGTATGGTGTGGATCGTTGTGGTATGGAAACGATCCGAGTCGCAGGAGGCAGCGATGTAGCATTGGGGCAGCTTCACCGACAGGCACTGCCAACTCTGCAGGAAAGGTACTGATCATGAATTCCTGCAGGTCTGACACCGTCCAGACTATAGAATGTTATCCTCATGGAGCGGACCAACGATGAACTTGGTGCGTACATTTCTCGGATTCTGACTCGGTGCAGAAGATATGGAAAATGGTTTGAAACCATTCATTCTTAGCATCGCTCATAAAGAGTCTTGATAGGCGCCATTTGAATCTCTCCTGGAGTTCCTCTGAGGTGTGTTAGTATTTGCTGCCATATAAAGCGTGCATGGAGATTCGTCCTACCGCGGGTTTGAACTGGCGGGAGAAATTCGACAGGAGATTCTTTGGTTGCAGTCTGACCCATGGCTGGGATTTGAGCAGTTAGGAAACTGAAGGAGTTGAATAATTTCTTTCTTTTTTGGGCTTGATGAAATGGAGATGGAACTGAATGAACGAAGTCTGGGATATGGAGAGAAGAGAGAAGGAATGATGAATTGGTAGCATGGAGATTGAGACAGCGGATCAGGTGACTAGACGACGACGATGAAGTGAAGTTAATCGAGTCTGCCTCGTCTTGACGTCTGCGTGCAATCTCAAGGATGATTTTCGTCGGTCTTAGGGAGGACAAACCAACTCCAGAAGATCCCTGACGCCGAGCAATTCTGGCCCCATCAACCAACAGAGGCGACGTTGCCTTCCAGTATCAGTGATGCATCCAACATCTACACCCTGGTCAATCTGCCTGTGGAAAACGACCGCCAGGAAATAACCAACAGGTATGCCTGGGAGATGCGGCTGTGAAGTTTCAAAGTATTGAGGCCGTGTTTTCATCAAGTTGGAATGTGTCAGGACATCAGCCAGCATATGATCTCAATTTAATCATCTTCTTGCGCCTCTGGCACTGAGCAATTCTCCATCATCTCATTCTCTGATTCAAAAGGTTCTACTTCGTAACTGCTATACAAGATGCGTCTCCAGCTGTTCTCGTTCATCACCGTGGCCATTTTTGCCTCTATTGTCAGTGCAACTGGTTGCAGCAAATGCCTCAATCAGAACGAGGACAATATCCGTCTGGGCTGCTTCAACAAATGCAAAGAAGCTTTCAATCCCAGCAGCACTGAATACCAGGTTTGCCGCGACCAGTGCACCGAGTTTGTGTTTCAGGATCACTGCTGCACCTCTTCCTGCAGCAGCAAAGCCGACGTCTGTCTGAATGACTATTTCCACGGTGTGGGCCTGACCAAGCGCGACTCAATGGATGAGGAAGCCTATTATCGATCTCAGCTAGATGCGATTCGAGAAAATCCCGATCTACTCGATAAACGAGCGCTGCTGGTCGGTGCTGCTCCGTACCATCTGATCCGAAGCACTGAGGACTTGCACTCGCTGAATCATCCGGATTTCAATGAGACTATTGTGTACGATGTGAGCGCGGATGACGGCCCAGGGACTTTGGATCGTCGTGTTGACCGTGGCAAAGTCTGCTGCACGGCCGCCAGGACAGTATTGAAAACTGGAGTTGTTGAGGTAGGGCCAGCATTAGCAAGTGATGAATGGACCGAGGAGCAGTACGCGGGACTGGTGCTGGTTGGTTTTGGCATTGCAGGAGCATGGACTTGCAACCGTGTTTACAATGTGCAATGTCTCTTCTTCAATGCCAGGCCTGCGCCGCAACATTGAGGGGGAAGGCAGTTCAGGTGGTCTGAGGGTCCTGTTGGTTTCATGATGTGGTTTCATTTGACTGCTTATGTGGTCTTGGTAGTTGGTTATCTTATTATTGTGGCTGTACCTGTGTCATGATCATCCCATCCCTGGTGACTTGTAAGAAGTTAAGCTATATATAAAGCCCCCGCCAGCCCGTCTTAGTGCTTGGTCTTCATTACTTCTTCATCCTTCCCCGCGCCTCAGCGAAGTGCAAGTTAGTTTTTATACCTCGCTGCCAAAAAAATTCTGAAAGTATCCGGACTTTCTCTATGGAGCAAGAATCGTCAACACCAATCTATTTTCGACGGACTCTGGCAATCGCCCTTGCGCTCACTGCACTCCGTCAACTAGGATCCTGCCGTCCATCCAATCTGTTTCCCTCCCCGAACACTCTCACAGAAGAAGTCGATAAAATGTTCGCTTATGCGGTCAATACAAGCACGCTCTTCTTCGCATGGTATATCGCCGAGCCCTCCATCACCGACCCTGTTCCGATAACGAATTTAAATACATGGCGGTCTATCCTGGCCGGTGTCGTTCTTACTCTCGCTGTATGCGGCAATAACCTCCTCAAGCGCGTTCTGCTCGGATTCGCGATCGGGGCATGTTGGATCCTCGGGTGGATGATCACCTCTGTCGAGCAGCGGGCGCCCTATTGGCGGTTCCTGAAAGACGGGCTGGGTTTCACTTTGATGAGTTTGTTGCGGAAGGTCGGTCTTTAGAGGCTCGTTCTTTTGACGGTCTCCTTGGCGATGCATGTCAAGGCGGCTGTGCCACGTCTGTTGGGCTTTCTGTTCGTTCGCCAAGAGTTATTTTTGGCCAAAGTTGTTGACATGAGAGAACTATTGTGGCTTTGAGTACCGATGGTTGATTTACCTGGTATAAGCCACATATCAGAAGACTTGTTCTTGTATGGATGGCCCAATCAACCATTCCAGCTAGGGCTGTCAGCTAGGGCAGCTGCCAAGTGCCGACCTACTCTTTCTCTCTCTCTAAGATAGTTAGATGATAGATCTAGGTAGTCTCTAGATAGCATAACAGTATCAAGTTTAGCAGTTCTTTTTCTCTCCTTCTTTATAAGATTATAAGCCCTCCCCTTATTTGTTTTATATTTATGTTGTTCCCATTTAAACTGGTCATTGATTGGATATGAGCGAGACCAACCGGAGCAATCACACCGTTGGGATTTCACTATTATCATTGGGAGAGGAGTATTTATATCAGAGCGAGCAGCAAGCCCAAAAACTTGACCAGTACCTACGATTTATGAGGTCTCAATAACAGGAAAAGACGACAAAGACCGAACATTCCACATGCACTCAAGCCTAATATATCCAAGAATCGAACAGATCCATCAATATCATCTCGTCGCGCTTCCGTGCAGATTACGAATACTGGAACACTCAGTGGATGTTCTTCCACACTTCCTCGGTGTAGGCCATGCAGTTGTTCGTAATGAGATTGTAACTAGGCCACTTACGAGCATACTCCAGGCCTGCAAAAGTCAGATACCCTACAGGAAACGAAATAAAGAGACTGTCCGATTGACATACCTTCGTTTGTGATATACGCATCTGTCGAAGAAGTTTCCCCAAGATACTCGTACTTGCTGTCCTTGCTCGTCTTGACCCATTCCTGCTTCTTCTCGCTGAAATAGTGGTTCGCCCACCAGAGATTGTCCACCTGCGAGTGTACCCGTCCGCCCACGGGCGTCTGCCCCAGTCTCGTCTCTGCGTCGTCGCTGATCATCTCGAAGGCCTTACCGTCGAAGCCCTGGCGTCCGGACCGCGTGGGACTGTTGAAGAACTGGCCGACGATGAGCCGGACGTGCGAGTAGTCTGGCAGACACATATATTCCCCGTAGACGGGGGCCCATTTCTCGCGGAAGGCATAGCGTTTTCCGTGTTCGAGCCGGACGCCCTTTTCGGCAGCAGCCAAGGTCGTGGCCTCATAGTTGTCTTTGTCGACCTGCTTTTGATCAGGAAAGCGGTCTGCGCGTTGTGTTGCGAGACAGAGATTGAGGAGGACAAAGAGGAGGATAAGAATGGAGCTGAAGGCTTTCATTTTGATACTTAATAATCCTGTTGTAAGAGATGAGGCTTTGTCTAGATGATGGAGATGGTAAGGGCTTGATGTTGTTGAACTTGTGGTAATCGCATTTGAAGTCTCTTCCTTTATATAAAACTTCAGTCGGTATAATTTCCTATGACTACATGCATTTACATCAATCTCGCCCTATGGGATGTTGGATAGAGGAAAAGAGAGCTTTGCAGGGCGGTGTTTGCTCCCAACGATGGCCGATTCACTTGTTGTAGCAATGTCACCGAGTGGTTTATTGATCGGCAAAGTGAACCAACTTTATCCTACGAACACTTTAGCCCCAAGGATTCCTCCAGAAGGATACACCAGGCTGTGCTGAGAGGAAAAAGAGTCCAACTCCTGCCAAGGTCAACATGTTGGGATCTGCTCTCAAGCGGCCTTCGCCAAAAGCCCGGAGGGGCTTAGGGCTTGGCTGTTGGAAGGTCCTGCAATGAACCCTGTCTCATCGCAACTGTTGTTTCACCTTTACCCCATGTCTGCTTCAGATCTTCGGAGAGGCAGTGCTACCAAAGACATCATACACATCATTTACGTTGTCTGTCATTCGGCAACATCTTGCAAGGTCTATAACATACAGTTGATCATGAAACCCTCCGCCCCCAACGAAGAATTCCACGTTGGTAGATGCGTTCATGTCATAACACCATCTAACAAGCTCCTCTTAATCCGAAGAGCTTCGCTATCTTCTGTCCGGTGTGGGTTGACTGAATGTTGGTTCTACTTCAGAAATACACAGTCCTGTAGGAGATGTCAATATGCCTCGCTCTAGCCCCCAACACCAACAACTGGTGTCTCAAGGATCAGCTTTGCTACCAGTCGCAGCATTTGGCTTACATTGGGGTTGTTGATTGAGAACATGGGACGCATCGCGATGAAGATGGGGAGATGCGGTGACCGAGTTGGTTCGAACTGGCGGTGTTCTGTAGAGAAAATTCCAAGGCATCATCCCAAGCATTCATTTGGAGGAAATCGATATGAGAAAGCTATAAAGCTCATGGCATCTCCCAGTGCTCTGGAATTATCATCCACGACAGCAACAACCACAAATCCAGAACAGCAACTCAAACACTCGTCTTTGAACCCTTCCAGAAGATACTTCCAATACAATGCATTTCTCCAAGATTGCCATCTCTCTTGGTCTCCTGGCCACCGCCGCAAGTGCCGCTCCCAGCTTCTTCAAGGAGCGCTCTCCCATCGTTGTACGAGAGATAATCGACCTCGGCGTTACCAACGACGGTTTCGAGGATCTCGAAAAGCGTGGAAAGAGCAACTACATTTCCAGCTGCGGTTCCAATTGGATGCCCATTGAGGATGACAAGAGCAAGAGCCACTCCGGCTACCGGTCTGCCGTCGAGCAGTATTGCTACCATGTCACCCATAGCCAGGACGGGCTGCCAACTGTCATCGGCGCGGGACAGAAGCACGCGGCGATTGTCAAGAACGGATACTACCTCAAAGGGGACGTTCCTGCCGCTGTGGACTGTGAGATTCCTTACCCGGAGCTGACTTGATATTCGCTGACTGAGTATACAGTTGAAATCCACAACAAGATGAAGGATGGAGATCATACCCCCAACCAGGCTGACTGCGAAACATACCTCATGAAGATGGCCGATCCCAGCTCCAGCTGCTACGGCAGCAAGAACAAGGACACCAAGGGCGGCACTTGGCAGATTGGCAGCGATGATGTTAGCTACCACGCTCTTCCCAAGCCCAATGCTACCTAGATAGAATGCATTGTGAGACGGAGGGGAGTCGTGATCGATATCTGTCATATTGCCTGGCTTGTTATTTCTGCTTTTCTGATATTCGGTTACTTCTGTTGATTGCCTTGGTTCAGCTTTTGTTTAGATTTGGTTTCTTAAAGATTACCATTGCTCTCTATTCATCTGATTTCAAATTGCGAGTAGTCCGATCTCGCCCATAACTCGTAAATCGTTCGTAAATACTCAGTTATGTTAGGAACAAAACCCAGGATGTCCCACCTCGGCCAAAGCCTCCTTCACCACCTGCTCAAGGTTTTTCTTTAGCAGCCCCAACTCCTTGTTCCTCACTTGCCCGACAGGCTCAAAGTGGCCACTGTAGGTTCCCTTGGTAAAACCGATGTTAATGAGGCCATATCCTGCATACGCTTCACCATTTTCCCATCGTTTCTTCAAAGCAGGAATAGCCTCGTTGGTGCTGATCGACTTGCGCTCCCATTTCTCGCCAGTGAGTCGCTCGATCGTCTCAACGAGCTCCTTTTGTGTGGTGGCAAAGTCACTGGTGAAGATAATTTGGTTGGCCGTCGTGCTGGGATTGAGGAGGACGCGGTTCAGCGCCAGAGCCGTGTTGTCCAGCGTGGTCGTGGAAAAGGAACCCTCGCCGTCGTCGGTGAAGGTGATGATACGGCTGGGATAGTGTAAGCCGGGGAAGCTATTGCGCGGGGACCTTGGCACAATCAGCCATGAGTCGGTGTATCCATGTCTGTGCAGAAGAGCCCATGCCATCCGATCCACATGCTGCATGTGATGGCCGTCTAGGTTAGTCCGGTCGATTCCTTGCTGCGCAAATACTGCTGCACCGTCGCCTTGTCTTTGAATACGGGTGATAGTTCCTGCGCTTCGGGCGTATTGTTATCCAGCGCATACTCAGAAGGCACATAATGCCTGACCCCGGCGGCGATCGCGGCGTCAATAAATTTGTGCTGCTCGGCGACAGAGAAACTGGTGATCGCGTTCACGACTGCATCCTGGCCCTTGAAGGCCTTAATGAGGTTCTCAAGTAGGTAGGAGTCGGCGATGGTGATTACAGACGCGGTCGAAGGGATACTGCCGCGCGCTTTGGATGATTCTCTGGTGAGGACTGTGACTTTGAATGTGGGCTCAGACAAAAGGGACCTTAGAAGGATGCTTCTGAGGGAGCCACCACCTTGCTCGTTGAACCAGCCAAGTTTGGTCAAGTAGGAGAGGTCTTCACTTACTCTAATGATGATTATATTCTTCTACGCGTTTGTGGTCATGATATAATGTTGGACTGTATAATCTTAAGGAATGCCGATGCTGTATAAAATACCATCAAGTCATTTTCCATTTGACACTTATACTTCCCCTCTGGGGTCTTCTCTACTTGGCTTGGCATGGGTTGAGTAATCAATATACTGTAGCTGGAATAACCAGGGCGTCATGGTGGATTGAGTGGAGAAGTCGGCTTGATCACTAATATACTCCGATCAGCAATAGACGTTGCATGCGCTAGTGGTATCTATTAGGTGGCAACGGACTGTTTTGCTCCTAATATGCCAATCAATTGCCAATATAGGTAGCTATCAATTTGTTTCTCATCTGCGGTTAATCTGCCGAAGCGCGGCGGAGCAAGATAGATGATAGAGATTCCCATCGATCTCTATAGCCTAATTGAACGTAAGCTCCACTCTTGACCTATATCTGTAATCTGTACTCTGTATTGACTTGATGTCTTTCATGCCTGACTTTGTCTCATGAGTTTAACGAAACGCTTTCATCAAGTGAGCAGACGGAGCTATAAGCCTTACAGGTATTGATCTTAATCTTATCCATGCTAATTATGATGACGATGCAAATTACCCACTGAGCCAAGGGGTTTACAACAAGCCAATCGGTTTGCCTCTCAAGAGCGCCACTACAAGTGTATCACTAGACCTCAGCCCTCAGTAAGCCCTAGCAGATTGACCGTCTGGACCTAATTATTACGCTGGCCCAGAAGCAGGAGTGGTTAGTGGCATTTAGTCGACACAAGAGGAATCTTGCTTTTAGAATACTCCGTTTAGAAAGAGTACCCATTATTGAGGGACCGGGTGATTTTGTATAATGGATCGGTCTGGATTCTAAACAGATGGTCCGTATAAAAGATCATAAGATACTAGAAATCAACCTCTGGACGGGTACTAGTCGGCACATTCAGATGAAGATAGAGATCTCCGATCAAGGGCTGAAGGGCTGAGGGACCAGGAGCGGCGTATGGCACTGCGTGCAGAGTTGTGGTCATCGAGTGTGTTTCAGTCTGCCGGAGGTTGACTAGTAATAACTACTGCAAAGGATCAGGTGTGATATTGATGGCTTGTAAACGAATGTGACATGTCTATTCGCCGCTGCCTAAATTGGACAGGCGACTGCCTTATTGGGAAGGACCCTGGAAACTGCTATCTGGCCTATCAAAACGCCATCCAATAGTGTCACTTCTCCACTTCTCCACTTCTCCACTCACTCTAATCCCGATAAGGCTGCGCGACTGCCCGATCGGGGATAGCGTTGGTGAAGCATTGTTTATCAGATAATCTCATCAGATGCCATTTATTACATAGCTGAATATTTAGCTATCTTCTGCTGACAAGCTGACAGACTAGCATGCTGTAATGGGATCCATAATATAATCATGCCATATCTCGAAATCATTGGGCTGTACTGCCGCCGAGAATTTGGCCCCAGCTATCGGGTCCTCATGTCTTTAGGTGAAAGCAATAAACTACTTACACGATACCCTGCTCATGACAGCTTAAGATAAATGGCGAGACCAGCAGAGCAAGGTGAGACAATGCATGGTCAATAGACAGGGATTCATGGCTCTACGGTTAATAGGACTGTATCCCTGCCTCTTCCCCAACGTCATGCTATAAAACATCGGCCCCATCACCTCAATTAGAAGTTGTGAATTGTCCCGCTGTCTGCTCTGAAACTACATTGTGGATCGAAATCCAAACCATGGATACTGAACCTTTTGAAGAACAGTCCGACTGTCAGAACACGTCCGAACCTTCTCCTCCTACGAACAATTCAAAGCTTCTCAAGCGTGGTCGACCTAGGATAGAACGTGTTGGCGAAACAGCGGGCGAGGTGAGGTCTTGTCAACAATCTTCTGTTGGGAACTATGTCTAATTTCATTCAAGAGACGAAAAGAGCAGATCCGGCTCGCACAGCGAGCCTACCGGTTTCGCAAGGATCTCAGAATTGCAGTCCTAGATCAGAAAGTTGCCGAGCTTGAACAAACTATTCTCGCAATCCGTGACCTCTATCTCGGCATGTACACTTCTGTCGTCGACTCGGGAATTGCCATGTCTCATCCCTTCCTCGTGCAGTCGATGCAAACAAATCTTCAACTCTTGCTCTCTCTCACACAGTCAGCGTCGAGAGGTGCTGAAGATCAGCTTTTGTCCACACATCAAAGTACAGACGGTTCATGGGACGAGAGCTTTCTCGGGCACAAACCACCGCTACCGTCCCCTGCCCTGTCGAGCCAGCATCCAACGTCTGGGTCTGAACCGTTGAGGCTTCCCTTTGACAGTCCATTCGACAGCACCTCCACAAGTCCTGGAGAGGCTCCGGGGCCTTCGCCGGACCCATTCATCCTAGACCCGCTTCTGCTCTGTGATGAATACTTCTGGGAGCAACCCAGCATGGACACGAATAATGATGGGATATCCATTGGTCACTTAAGTTGACATGAATCGTCTTCAACTTGCACTTCGTCTTGTTCCTCTTAGCCACTGCGACAGTGAAATTTGAAACACTCCATCAAGTAAAATCAGTGCAGAACATCTTTCATCATGCATAATGTCTTGCGCTAAAACGAGAGAATACACTAAGTATTCCTCAAGATCAAACATGTCATCATCCCTTCCTTGCGCCTCAGTTTTACAGTTTATGCTAAGCGTTGGGTTGATGTATGGCCATGTAGCGAATTCTCTTTGTTCTCCACGTCAGGAAGTTCAGCCAGCGCCATATTCCAGGCCTCTTCCCAGTCATGCTCACAAGATGAATCATAGAAAAACCGCTGCAAAATTTGCCGTATGTCGCTCCAGTTACTCGCTGGGTATCTTTGCAGAATTGACCTCCTCAGCAGTTGTCGCTGCTTCTCTCTGCAGATGATCTGCCTGTTCCGTGGTGTCGCAACGACAGTACACATCCAAATCACACATTCAATCAGCAGGAAATCGTTCCACACCTCAGTAACGGCAGCTAATACCTCGGCACGTCGCTGAGGCTTACGAAAAATCAACGCTGCCGGATGAGTCCCCATAGCGCTGAGGTCGTCGGCAAGACACGCCAGGGTGACAGAGATGCACTTCTCAAGGTTATTTAAGTTTCTGGACATGGAGCAGCGCCACGTTTGTCTGGCCGTTGGTTCGCTTTCCTTGTTTCTAGCAAGCCAGTGTGAAAAATCCCTGACAATTCCAATCGTCTCGTCTGACAGATAGCCGCAACGGGCTAGGTCGCGAAAGCCTGGCGGTAGATCCAGAGCTGTCTCCCCCCACACCGGCAGAGGATGGGGAAACACCCCGTTTGCAAGCGTCGTAGGGGCATTTGTGATCGTGGTTTGGACGTGAAACTCGACCAGACTCATGGTTACAAGCATACTCATCCGCAGGTTTCTCCCAAAAGCATTCTCGTCGGAGCTTCCGACCGCATCGAACCCGCCACGGAGCTTGACCACCTCTCGCATTCCGTTCAGATGGACAGGACCAAACTCATAATGTCCTAAATAGTCGTCCACCGGGATCAGCAGAGCCATCCCCTGAATCAAGACGTCGTCCACCTGCTGCTGGGACAGGCGGTTGTGCAGGTCCAGCAGGACCTTGTTCCGATGGAACATGATGGCACGACTGATGTTGCCGGTAGGATCCTGACATTCCAGGCTACACAGGGTAAATGCCGACAATCCATGCAGGATCAGGTCGTGCTTTGAGGCCCATGAGAGAAGTCCGCGGCCGTATGATCCCGTGCCTACTTCGTCGAGTCCCAGAGCCTTTGCATCGTGCGGGAGAAGTACGTCAAAATCTGGACGGATATCAATGCCGTGCCTCGGAAATTAGAATGTGATGGAGAAATTACTTACAATAGCTCAGAGCTCGCGCAGTCAACGGGCCTTTTGAGGCGAATCCGTCGAACGGGTAGAACCTGCCAGCCCCAACAGGTCTCGAAACAACCATTGCCTGTGTCGAAGGTTTCCTATGTGTCTGATCATCTTCCCGGGATTCGTTCCTTTCATCAATTGTTGGCTCTTGCGAGGTATGACAATCAGGAATCTGGAGCCACTGCAGGGTCCCCTGCCTTTCTCTGTGCTTGATCTCTTCTCCCCTTCGCTTTCGTCGTCTGGTCTCGCCTCCGCGGCCACGAATGCATTGATTGCTCGTCGTGTGTTGGTGTCTTTCTTCTTTGATGGTCCGCGATAAGGAATAAACATAGTGATGAGCTGTGGACCATCACAGTCGCATTATCATGCGTTCAGATTACTATGTTTGGCAGGTGCAATGAACCACAAGAAGTCCACCCAGTTGTCTTATATCTCTTTTGATCATTATACGTTCAGTGATCCTCAATCCTGGCAAACACTCAGTGGCTGTTGAAGTTTCTCATCGGGTATGATTATGAATCTGCAGCGTGGCACTTTTTCCTCGGCGCTTATTCTCCCACACTTCTGCCCTGATTGATATGATGATCTTCAGTTGCACCATGGCCGACCATTGTCCTGATACAGAACAATGACATAATTGATATCGCGCCACTCCTGGAATGAGCTCCAGGTATCTGAGATTGTCTGCCAAGGAGTGTCCTCGTCTTGCCGGCAAATCCGATGGCTTGCAGTTCGGCGCGCAAATCGCCACAATACCTTCCTCAAACTGATTACCAATGTGATACTATGAGGCTGTAACCGGATTCACCTTCCATATGATCAATAATCAATGTATGGTTTATAATTTCGGTCTATGATTCATGGCCATCGGTGTTTGCCTGCATATCTCTCAGCTGTGCCTCCCGGGATTTACATCAATATAACAATATCCTGGAAAGATGCCGCAGATTGATTTCAAATGCTCTTGGTACTCTAAGTAAAGAACATAAGTGATACTAGCATCATCTTCAGTTGATTGTATGACCAAGGAGCATTAGTAAAAGCATCAAGTCACTCAATTAATCAAATTTGTCAGCAACAATGAAAGGTATCAAAGTTATAGCCAGCAAGCCTATATCCACAGATATACATGCAACCACTCAGTCAAATAGCATACCATACCCTAGTCTGCACCATCAGGGCACCGCATACACAGTTTCATATCAGCCCCAAGATCTCCAGTCGATTGTGCAGCCAATTCTTGAAGATTGTTCAACCTTTTTTTCAAGTGCATAGTTACCACATCATACAGAGGACTTGCGAAAGGATGACATTCCAACTCAAGTATGTCCCATCCAGAGCGCTCAATTATACTCCTTCTCCAGCTCCAGTTCCCTGTTTTCCAGTACCTTTCAACCCTCCACAACACGCTGATGGACTCCACGCCATATCGAGTCCGATACAGCTCCATCAGATCTGGTAGCAATGACTTGGTAGGTGGTCCGAAAAAGTCGTACTCACCGTAGAGGTCACCATCATAGTCAATATCTGGCTGCTCCCTAAAAGAAATATAGTGCCGAAACCAATTCTTGTGCGACATATCAAACCACACAGAATTCGGGTACTCGTTCCCTTGCTCCGCCTGATATAATTCGGGGCACAGCAGTCGGTCAAGAAGCTCACCAGGCCCGGACTTGAAAGTGACTATAACATTGCCGCACTCGCCAAGGAGTTTGAATATCTTCTCAATCGTTGGACTGATGAACTCGACCCATCCACCCGTTGGCGACAGATCCTCCCAGTCGATAGGCAGGTATCGAACCATACCATATAGATCGCCCACCCATCTCTCACCTGGCTGTCCACCTTCCAGTATCGGAGCCCATTCCAGGCAACGATAGTCTATCTCAATCCTTCTGAGGTTTTTCCGATTGTGCGGACCGATCATCCGAAGCCACTTGTATATCTTCTGCCAGTCTTTCTCTCCGAGTTCAATAGAGGTTCGAAATATATGCTGGGTGTAGAACACATGGACAGCCTCCAGATAGACTTGCTTGTTGGTAAGAAATAATTGCATAAGGGGAAAAATGAAAGGAACTGCGGGATGGAGCCTTCTTGTCTCTGTGGTATTCTGCTTGTCTTCCGAGCTATTCTTCTCAGTCTCTTTTCGCCCAAGGCGTATAGGGCTATAAGGATATCTCCCCAGAAGGATTTTGTAGGTCTGGAGACGCAACTCCGGCGGGAGATCCAGGAAGCTGATGGGATTATCGATCCCCATGGTAAGACCTACTTGACTTTCAGGGTGTATGGAAGACAAAGGTATACAGGATTGTGTTCGATTGTTGCTATAACTTTGAAAGCAAGCTCAGGTGGTAGCAGAGTAGCAGAGTCTTAAGTGTGATTGTACTTATTACGACATCCAACCAGAGATTGCACATGGCTTTAACCCACGTCGGAAATGCGATTCTGGCTTAGTAGAGAATTGTTACCAAGGACAAGTTCTGATCTTGTCAAGTATTTTTAAAATTATAATTTGTATAGGTAACAGTAGATGGATTATGGAATACACATTAGATGAGAGAGTTAGGCGAGGTTATTCGATTTACGCATACCAGAGGTCAGTCCCAAGACAATCAACTCATAATGCAAGTCCTCTTACGTCCGGACTCATCACTAATGTGTTGACAACAATCCGCAGCCCGAAATCTGATTGATATTCAATTCTATATCAGTTGAGTCATGACATGCATGTTGGTAAGAAGTCCCTACTAAATGAGTGTACGGAGTTGGACCAAAGTTTGCTTCACATATCCAGATGGTGAGGGCTGGACCGTCATAGAATGCTGCGTCGCAAGACACCTTCACGATCAGCTTAAGAAACCGGCCAATTCTCGTCTTTAATGGCAGTACTATCCACTCCGAGAGTGATATACCCGACCAACCCCTTGGAAAGATCGTTGTCATCAATTTGCACGACTGAGACAACAGGATTGAAGCCGTTCACCGTGCTCTTCGAGAACTCCATATCTTCGGCGTTTGTAGTACGGTTTATCTGCGTGTGAGAGGCATAGGGCTCCATACCCATGATCTTCTCCTCGACTTCCTCCTCAAAGTACAGTTGTCCGGTGTTAATGGTGTTTTCAAAGACAGGGGTACCATTTTCACGTAAGGTCCAGTCCGTATGCACCTGAACATGGATATGAACTTTAGCATCCTGGTGTAATTTTATCCTTTGTCAACATCATACCACTGCACAGATCAGTTAGTAAGTCTTCAGCTGCGCACTCACGTCTTCTAGCACAGAAAACAGGATGGAAAGAGTTACTGACGAACAAGATCTCAACAACGCTCGCTTCTCACAGGCTCTACCGACACTTGAAGATGTCTTGAATCCGACAGCTTCTTTCCCGTTTAGCCTCGATTCTTTCATAGAGTTTCTGGCCCGATATGACCAACTCGGGCCATTCGAGATCACACTGGAAGTCAGAGGGAGCTACTATTTTTTTTTCCAACAGCTTGGTGGGATCGGAGCAAGTCACTGTCCACTACAGCATCTGTCTTCACTCTACCGGGGGAAGCAGCCCTACTTGAGAGAGCTTGAAGTGTAGGAAACCGTGGCCCATCTAATACTGACTTTTGGATACAGCTATAACTTCAGGCGCGGACGGACGAAGAGCCTACAGAGCTATTATGCAACTTGTTAGGCTACATCTGGTTAATAGAGTGTTGATTGGTCGATTCATCTATAACCCCTTCTCTGTAACAAATTCTCCTATCATCAACGATCTTTGAAACTAAGTCTGGCTACCTGACCGTATCAAATCTTCCACAAGGGCATTCATATTCGGAGGGCGCCCAAGGAAATTCTCCAACATCCGCAATAGGTTCTGTTGACTTCCACCGTGTTCTAGAACTCCGCGACGGTACTTATCCCACGTATCTCTATTATACGGGTCATGGGCAAAGACAGAGAGGAACAAATCCTGGGCCACAGCCGTGCAACTTTTTCTGTTAGTATTACCTGTTGCCATAACTGGGGATAACATACCATAAGTAAGCATAGTAACAAACATCATAACCAGCCGTTAGATGAGCGAACGTCCCAAACGCAAACCCATTTCTGCATTCAGAAAAATCCATTCCCTCTATCTCCTCACGTAGGTCATACCACAGTTTTTGTAGATCGAGGCCTGCAATCTCCTTGTCCGTACTTAGTGAGTGTATCTGTAGATCAAAGATCGATATTGACCTAATCCAGATCATTAGTGTCTGTAACATGGCAGGAATCATAGCAGACGCCCACATACAGCTGATACAAATGGTAAAGTCCCCTGTTGAAGTACCGATATTTGATGAGGCTCTCTACCAAGTCATTTGGAATTTCCTTTGGCGGATCTGGCTCGCCAGGATGTTGTTTGCGCCAGTCTGCTAGATAATTCTGGTGTAGTGTGGTGTAATGACAGCTGAGTCCCTTCAGGACATCTTTCATCCAACACCAATTCTCGAGCATAATGCTAGGCGTCTCACCAAAGTCAGGGGGCAGTCTGTAGCCATGGAAGCGGGTATATTTCGTCCTGGCTAATAGGTCATGGATGCCATGACCCATCTCTGTAATATGCACCTATTAGGCTATATATCCAAGTAGTGGTTCGGCTTTCATATACTTGCCGTGGAAGAGAGTCACAACCTGGTTATGCTTGAGTAAAGCACAACTAGTAGGGGTTGGAGTTGGAAATGAACACATTAGAATCGTAGAAGGGTATTGTCTGCTTCCATCTGGCCGTAGATAGCCCTATATCGGTCATCAGTAAAGGCCAACCATGAGTGAAATAAGGAAGGAACAAATACACATTGGATATTCACGCTTTGGTTGCCTCGATACTTATTTTCTCTCCACAATAGATCGAAATAGAGATACCCAATAAACCCATCGTCTTTCGTATCCCATACGGAGAACACCCGTACTGTATCATGCCAGACGACATCCCTTGTCAGCTTTTCGGATGGGTTCTCAGATTAAGCAAAGAGGCAAAGATGCCTAGCATGTTAGTTGCAGTTCTCTCCAGCGGGAAGAACTCTGAGATCTTCAGCTGGTCAACTTCAAACTCACGTTGCACCAGCCGCTCATAGTATCGCTTTTCCCAGGGGGGAAACCTATCTCCGGCTTCTTTATCACCGAATTGGCCTCTCGCTCGTAGATCTTCTAGCCGTCGACGCTGCAATACTGCGATCTCACCTTGGCCATAGGGACAAAGAGTGGCCTGTAGTTGACGTAGGAATCCTTTCACCCATTCTGTGGTCTTCACCATGCGCCTCTCGATCCTTAATGCCGTGTGACTTGGATATTTCAGGACCTGTGCCTGCCGAGCACGGCGCTTGATAATATCTTCAAATAGCGGCATATTCTCCTTCAGCTTCAAATTATCCTCCAGAAACATTCTCTTGCGAGTTTCTGAAGAATGAGCATGTGTTAATACAGCCAGTGTTCCTCCATTTGCGAATGGCACAAACTTCTTCCGTTGCTGGTGCTTTTCATTAGTCAATTCGCCTTCTGCTGGAGAATCGCGCCACTTCGCCAACTCATCTCCTGGCACTCCATCCAACTCCTCTAACGTAAACCATACTCCCCCGGCCTCCCTAGCCAAATTCTGCTGAAACCTCCTTTCTAACTGCGCAATCTCCATATTGCGCTTCTGGTACTCCTCCAACTCCACGTGCCCTAGGATGCCATGACCAGCATGCCTATACTCCAAGAGCTCCTTCTCTAGCAAGTGCTTCGATTCCGCGTCCAGCGCCTGGAACTCCGGCTTCTCTATTGCCGCCTCTAGAAGTCTGAAAAAGGGTTCATCTGCTGCCCATAGTGCCGAGGCTTTAAGGTACAACTTTCGGGCCTCATCGAACGCGCCTTGTGTATCGAGGGACGGAGACCCATATTGGAGCATGTCAATCATGCCTAGCTCGCCTTGGACGGCATTTTCGACATCCACTAAGGGAAGAATGACATTGCTGAAGGTTGCAGTGGAAGGAGTAGTTGTTTGGAGGATTTGGGTGCGGATAGCGTTGTATTTGTTGATTACGCGGTGCATCGCTGGAACGATCTCATCCGCGGTTGGGACATAGGGAAGGGGCTGTGGGAGCGACATTTCGTTTGAACTGGTTGAGCGTCTCAGTTGTAGATAAACTCGGATTAGGTCAACATGTGGATTCTGACGAGTAGGTAGATACTGGGATGGATGTTTTAGAAGAAAAGCGGGGTGGGGTTTTATTTGTACTGAGAGGTGGCCCTACCCATGTGGGTCTCCTGGTAGGATTATCAGGACACTAGGTACCTCCTTTCATCCCGGCAAACCAGTTACCTGATGCGGGGATCATTTCTGGCTTGTCATCATAAACAGTTGGGCCAGCACTTGAAGTTGGAGTTGAGCTTCGCCGAGTCTCGCCTGGCGATATCAAACCTGTCATCGAGTCCTGATGTGGTTCACGCGATTCTAGCTGTCAAACACATGAGACCTGTACTTTCTGAATGGCAGTAATGGCTCTGGTTGATCTCTATTAGAACATACCAATTCAAAATCTGCGCTTTCCATAATCTCTTTGGTGATTCACAGTTTCCCCCTTATAGAAAATTACAAAGAATGATCAAAAGAGGGTAGGGAAGTGCTCCCAAAATCGTAGTTTCTTTGGTCTTGTTTGAGAGACTCTGCTTTGCTGTAGAATGTATACCCCAATAGCGTTCTAAGCGCTGGGAAGAAATAAAAATCTGGCTGTTGGAAGATTCTTATAATGTGGGAGAATCTCAGCCTTGTGCTTCAGCGTGCAGCAGGCCAATAAAGAGGCGATATGCCAATGAGGATGCCTATTTTTAATCCGCCATGCAGACCACAAGGCACAAACTGATATCATTCAAGACCATTCATTATGAAGTACATGGGATAGTTTTGAGAGAGCTAGGGGGTGTGGTGTTACCCAGCGCGGTTTGGATCGAACCAGGCCCTACCTTTAGCCTGCACACTCTTTTGCTTTGCTACAATAAGAATATGTAGCTGGCAGAGATTTCGTCCCATAGTGTGGTTTATCAACACATCACTGGATCGCGATCATGTTTGGGAAATATAATGTGTGTAAGTGGCTAGGCTAGGTTACACCGAGGGTTATGTGCATCAAGTGATGTGACTCGTTTTTGCCCTGTATGTGAATGTAAGGAAACGTATCCACGAGCCCCTGAAACACAGACATGAGGTCTCTGTAGGGACGACTAGTCAGAAGAAACTTGACTTTCCCCAAATCTGCTTTTGTCCCATGATATATACCGTAAGGCAAGGCAATGGTCCTATAGCACCTCCATGAACACAGGCGGGTATAACGTTGCTATAGATTTTCTGAGTGAGATCCAGTGTTTTTGTATTCAAGAGAGACTCAGATTGTACAGCGAGATCCCTAGCCGCCCCAGTGTAACCAACGCTCTTGTCCTTCAAGCCGAACCGGCGCCACTGCTTCGCCAGTAAGCTCAGTAGTATCTCAGTCGCATTCATCCGCGTGACGGTGCAGCCAGGAAAGAATTGATTGATTGTATCCTCGAGCGAATAACAAGGCATCCTGGCTGGAATCATGATTTGCTCGGAAATAGTGTAGAGAAATGGCGTCGAAGGCAAAACAGGGATGATATGGGGGCTTAAATAATAGCACACACAGCGGTCAAGCCTGCCTGATGGCAGGTGCGTGGAAATTACAGGTAAACAATTTAGGTAGCTAGCATGCTTCATGGCTCATGCTTTAAATCAAATCCTTGCCCAATGTCAACATTAGCGCGCCTCCTTTAGACCTTCACAACAGGACCATTTCTTTCCGTGTTGAGCAAATAGATACAGAGTTAAGGATAATAATTAGCCATCTCGTGTGCTAACTTCATTCCAAGATCACAAGGCCTTGTTTGCAATGAGAAAAACCATGAGAAAATTATGCTTCTTGCTCCCTAGGCCCTTACTCTCGCCTGGATCTTTTCCTCATCGTGGTCTCATTTCCAAGAAGGGGAACCAGCCATATCTTCCACGCCAAACCTCCCATGCATTCTCTCTCACTACATTCAAATCAATGGTACCGACAGTCTTGTATGAGCCTATTGAAGATGTGGAAAGAATGGAATATTACCGGGCTGGGGGCTATCACCCAGTAACAATTGGGGATCGTTTCAACGATCGCTATCGGGTAGTGCATAAGCTCGGCCATGGTACATACTCGACGATTTGGCTGGCCCGAGACGAGAGATGCAACAGATACGTTGCAGTCAAGATCTGTACGGCAGATTCGAAACCACATGAGATTGACGTGCTGTCCAAACTCTCGAAACCCCAGCTGTTTTCAGACGTAGGCAGAACTATGATTCCTTCAATCTTGGATAGATTCAGCATTCAAGGCCCAAATGGCAACCACGTCTGTTTGGTAACTAGCCCAGCAAGGATGAGCCTTTCTGATGCAAAGAATGGATCATGGATCAGCCTTTTCCAGCTTGAGGTGGCCCGAGCGTTAGCAGCGCAGCTTGTGATTGCTGTTCATTATATACATTCACAAGGGTTCGTCCATGGAGACCTTCATCATGGAAACATCCTCCTCCAACCGTCCCGTGAATTCGATCAGTTATCCACTGAAAGGCTGTACGAGCAGTATGGGGAGCCGGTACTCGAGCCAGTCAATCGATTAGATGGCCAAAAGCTCCCGCCAGGTGTCCCACAATATGGTATATTACCTGTCTGGCTTGGGAAAGAGTGAAAATATTACACTCCCAGAAGCCAGGATCCTCCTTTCGGACTTTGGTGAAGCATTCTCTCCGCAAGAAAAGAGATTCGAGTCTCATACGCCTCTTCTGATCCGCCCTCCAGAGACCCGATTTGAGCCAACTAAGCCTCTTAACTTTTCATCCGATATCTGGACGCTTGCCTGCACCATCTGGGATATCATTGCCCAGAGATCTCTATTTGAAGGCTTTCTTACCAACGAAGACGATATGACTTGCCAGCAGATTGACGCACTTGGCCAGTTGCCGACTGAATGGCGGGAAAAATGGGAGGCACATCGAGACAAGTTCACTGAGCATGGAGAGCCGATGGACCAATCCCGATCTCCATATCAATCATGGGAGGATCGCTTTGAAACAAGCGTGCAGCGACCGCGGATAGCGGAGGGAATGCCGCCTCTTGAATCGAGCGAACAAGATTCTCTTTCCTCAATGTTGCGCTCCATGCTTTCCTTTAGGCCGGAGGATCGTCCTTCTGCTCAGCAGGTTCTCGAGTCTGAGTGGATGGTGAAATGGGCTCTGCCCGAGTACGAGAAGATTCGCAACACTCAACAATAGCAAGGTGCGCATGGTCTGAATACTGTATTATGTCTAGTAAAACCCATGATTAGATGCTGGTGACACCTTTTCTTTAGCCCACACGATCAGTATATATAATGACAGTGAAATTTCGATGTGTCCCTTTTGTACAAATAGTCCGCCAACAGGGACATATCATATCATTCACTCTTGTTGAACACATTTACACTACTATTTCTACTACGCTAGGAAAGGTCGTCTAGACACCTTTTTAGTTGTGGTTTCATGATTAACAAGGTTCACGGCATGTATTACCTACTGCCACTACCTCTAAGAATTTACTATCTATATAAACTAAAGCTTGGTTGATATAGCATTGTTACCATATCTTTTGACGCACAGTTCAACATATAACTCATTAAGATATTACTGGCTGGTAAGCTGAGTCGTTTGGCGATGGAATAATATTCCATGTAAGTCCTCCGGCGGTGCTTCTCGCTGGGACACGAGCGTATGATCCGGTGGCCTTGGACTATTTGCAGCATCCAGGATAACGTCCCAGTGACGTCGAAAGATACCTTCAGCATGCGTCGTCTCTAACCATAGGATACATTTGATACGCACAAGAACATCGTCCCAGCTCGTCAATTGTAATTCAGCGGCCAGCGCCCGTGCTCTTTCCATGAACCACTGGTAGAGAGGCGTGCCGCTCGAGGCGACGAGGCCATTCGAAATAAGCCATAGATCAAGCGAACCAGGCACGTGGGGTGTTGAGTAGAGTCTTGTTAGTTGCTCCATGAACCGGGCAACTATCATGTTCAATATGACCGCATGCGAGTAATACGTCGGCCCCTGAATGGTGAACATGTAGAGTATAATTGCGTAACGAATGGATTCGGTAACCGGTGAAGAATGAGGGCTGGACATGTCCGGAGCCGAGAAGAGAAGTCGATGGACAACAAAGCATGTGAGATCATGGAGTCGCGCGGGTGTGAAAGGTGTGTATCGCATCCGTTGGAATGCGTTGAGGAGGCGGATAAACACATTCCAGACTGAATAGTCGATATACAGGCTGCTAAGCTCTGATATATTGTCGGGCAGGAGTGTCGTGTCCAACTGCCATTCAGGAATGGGAGGTATGCCGTCTCCAATTCCGAGGTCATCCTGGGTCTTGAATTGAGGATGACCCTTGATAAGTAACGATACCCTGCAGGCGTGTAAACCGTCTACCTCTATTCCTGTCGACTTTTGGGAAGAAGACTTACCAACTGACCATTCTCGCCGTCAAAGGGCTCGTCTGCCTCACGGAATTGATCCCACCCCTCAGGTTGACCAGTCTTTTGACTCCATCGACATGCATCTCGCTGACGCGGATGTTGCCCTTGCCAAACTGAAGCATAGTGCGTCAATAACGGGCCCAAGAGAAAGAAACAGAGCGCGAGGGCAAATCTCACTTCGATAGCTGCCAAGGTGATGACGGAATTCATCGTGACGTCCTGCATGGCCAGTGACAAGTCGTCAATCTTGCGTCTCAGCAACGCCACTGACTCTGCCATAAGAAGCTCGGAGGTTTGAAAGCCCCTCTGGGCCAACAACTCCTCATCAAGACATGCTGTCTGGAGGGAGACGTGAAACAGTGCCGGGTCGCCCAAAGCAAGTGGCCACCACGAGACAAGGAACGGGTTGGACGTTGGGTTCAAGTCGAGAGGATAGTATTCGAACGCAATCTTGTGGATAACTAAGCCGATAAGCTACGGCTTTGGCAGACCAATTGGAGGAATACGTACAGGTATGGATGAGACGTTGGACGTGCTCTCGGGGCAGTTTCGTCGGCGGGTATGATTCGAAAGGATCCAGGATACCAAATTGGGAGTCTGTTAGAGTTACCAGTCCGTGTGCTGGCTTTGCTGATCTGCCTTCTCCACGCCCGGGAGCAGCGGGTGGCTGCGCGGTCCACGGCTCGTTCGCATAGACGCACAGGACGTCGCGCTTGGTGCAGCGAGAGCAGCGTGGGATGCGCAGGTCGCAGCTCAGTTTAGACTTGGCGCATGCAGCACAGGACCGACGAAGGGTTTGGCGCATTTTGAAAGCGACATGTCCTGTACGTTGCAATGAGCGACGAAGTGAGGGAGAGTGGTGGTGCTGAAAGCTGACAGCCTGAGGGGTCAGGCTCCAAGGCATCCCGGCATGTTCATCGGTTTTTAAGGCTGTCGTGCGTCAGCCCTAACCAAAAGTAGACTAGACTCCGACCATAAATTATGCAGTGTCGGAGTCTAGTCCTAATCGGGCAACTGCGATGCGAATAACTACATGTCCCTGCGAGAGCATCCAGTTACTAAGCACCGAAATCAACATGACTCGCAAGTAGCCGAGCCAAACAAGGGATCAATGTACCGTGTTCTTCCCCTTTTCTCAAGGCAAAGACAAGACCAAACAAGAAGGGTGCACTGAGGAGGGTTCAACACCGACTTCAACCCGTCGACCCATCTTTCACTGGTATAAAGACTGAGTACCATCTTTTCTGAGATTCGGAAGCTTTTCTCTATCGTCCAGTTGCCGTCTTACGCAAGATGTCTGTTGGAATTGACAACACCTCCAGTGCTCAACCTGAGCTGGCGCAGACATGGCCTCAAAGTATTTTCCACCTGCAAAGCCCTCGGCCGGGCTTTCTGGCAGGCTGGTCCGCCTGGCAGTATGTCGTGACCTTTTTGCTCGGCGTAGTGGTCTATGACCAAGGTAACCGCTCATATCGAGTCTGAAAGGCATTTATAAAGCTGACACCGTCTCAGTGATGTACATTAAGCGAAAGGGTTCCATTGCCGGGCCAACTTTCAAGATTCCGCTCATGGGCCCGTTCCTTCAGGCACTTCATCCCAGATTCGAAGCATACATTGAGCAGTGGGCCAGTGGACCTCTCAGCTGTGTATCGGTCTTCCACAAGTATGTCCACTCTGCCCCCCGTTGCGAAATCGACAAGCTTGTTCGAGCGAACCGGGAATCCCCTACTTACAAGTTGCACTCTAGATTCGTCGTCCTGGCCTCCGATCGAGATCTAGCTCACAAAGTCTTTAAGTCACCCGCATACGCTGAGCCATGCATCGTGCCCATTGCAAAGGACCTCTTGGGCCACAAAGCGTGGGTTTTTCTGCAAGGGAAAGCCCACGCTGAGTACCGGCGGGGATTGACTCCTTTGTTCACCAACAAGGCCATTGCCACCTACCTCCCTGTCCAGGAGAGGGTTCTCGCGGACTACTTCGACAAATTTGTTGCCGCAAGCGAGAGAAATGATGGACGACCGATGGCATTCATGACCATGTTCCGCGAGATCAACTGTGCACTTTCCTGCCGCACGTTCTTCGGTGATTACATCTCTCAGGACGCGGTCAAGAAGATTGCTAACGATTTCTACCTTGTGACTGCGGCGATGGAACTGGTGAATATTCCACTCTCAGTGTACATCCCCTTCACCAGACCCTGGCTCGGGAAGCGGACGGCCGATGCGGTCCATGCCGAATTTGCTAGATGTGCAGCCGCATGCAAGGCAAACATGGCTAAGGGCGCGACACCGACTTGCATCGTCGACCACTGGGTCCTGCACATGATGGAATCGAATCGGTACCGCGAGCGGATTGCTGCAGGCGAGACCGACGTGGAGAAACCGACGAATCTGATCCGCGAATTCACAAATGAGGAAATCAGCGAGACGTTGTTCACCTTCCTCTTTGCGTCCCAGGACGCCTCGAGCAGCGCCACAACATGGATGTTCCAGATCCTTGCCCAACGGCCCGACGTCCTCCAGCGCGTGCGCGAGGAGAACCTGGCCGCCAGAGGAGGCGACCCGAACAAGCCCTTCGATCTGCCCATGTTGGAGTCCCTCACCTACACCAACGCAGTCATCAAAGAGCTTCTCCGTCACCGGCCACCCGTCATCTTCGTGCCGTACCTTGCGACAAAGGATTTCCCCATCACGCCAGACTACACTGTCCCGAAGGGTTCTATGATCGTCCCTTCCTGCTACCCAGCTCTGCATGACCCGGATGCGTACCCCAACCCCGAAGTCTTCGACCCCGATCGCTGGGTATCCGGAGATGCCGAGTCCAAGACGAAGAACTGGCTTGTGTTTGGCGCAGGGCCGCATGACTGCCTCGCAAGGAGATATGTGCCGCTATCTATGGCCGGAATGGTTGGCAAGGCAGCGCTGGAGCTTGATTGGGAGCATCATCCCACACCGAAGTCGGAGGAAATTAGGGTCTTTGCCACGTTGTTTCCCATGGTAAGTACTCACTATCTTTCTGCCTTGCTCTACGTTAGTTGTTCTCGCGTTAATTCTCGGCAGGACGGGTGTCAGTTGGTTTTTAAGAAACGGCCTTAGAAGAGCGTTGGTGTAATTGCAATCCAGTCCACCTAGACAAGTCCAGGCATCTGTAACGAATAAACATGAGACAGTCTTCATGGAATAATGCTGCTAATGAGTGGCCTTGCTGAAAAAGCCAATTTCATGACGGCTGGGCCTAGACTGGGTTTAGATGATGACTTGTAGTATATCACCGTTGACTACTTAATAATAGAATGGGACCGGAACAAGTCTCTCTTTATCACCTTTGTGCCCAGATATAACGGACGTCTTTCAGTCTGTCCATATTTCAAGTGAGTGAAGGAGCTAGTTTAGGGGTCTTCACAGGTATAGTTTGGTTCACTAAGCTTTGTAATTCTGTGCATGATATAGTATTAAGGAGTCACTAAATAATGACGGTCTAATGAATATCCTGGTGGCATACCCAAGCGGGAGACAAAAACGGTCCTCTCATGTAGATGCCTCCAGCCGAACAAACTTGCTCGTGGGCCTAAGAGGCAGGCCTGATTTTTCGTATGCCATGTCGATCATTTTCGCCTGCGCAAGGCTATCCTCGTTGCGGACCCAGAGCCCCGAGCCTTCTCTGCCTCGAATGCGGTTGACAAACTGCTCGAGTTGATGACGGTAAGAGATCCAGGACAGTTCACTAGGCTCATCGATACCAGCGTCTTTGAACGTGTAAATCTTCTTGGACTCCCTCTTCGTCCATTATTTGACAACCCCGCTGTTTTCCCCCTCCGACTTTCGAACAATGAACTCATCCTTGATGTCGATGCGATGCCAAGCTGCCGCCATCAGGAAATTGTTCAGAGTCAGTCTCCGGACGCGTAGTTTCTTCTACCCCGGAGAAAGTCTGTCAACTTCTACCGCTACCGCCTTATGGATAACAGTGACTTTGAACGTAGGGAGAGTGGAAACACTCGCGCGCATATCCATTACAGCCTCGCCAATAAGATCACCAGGGAAACGGAAGGTTGCATCAGCCGCCTCGTCGCAGAGTTCATTTGGAGGAGGAGACCTTCGAACAGTGCACTTGGTACACTCTTCAGGTTCAGCGCCCATGACATCCCGCAAGACGCCCATCACATATGTTCCGAGGTCGAGCATGTTGCCGCCGCCCAGTTCATACTTGAACTGAATGCTGTTCTTGGAGATGATGTACGAGGGCAGCTTCGCAACGGAGACGGCGCGCTCCAAATTGGGACGGTCGATCAATGAAAGGAAAAACTGCCACGTTGGCTGGAAACGATAGTGAAGTGCTTCGACCAGGATCGGCGCGCGTCGGGCTCTTGCAGCAGTGGGGAGAGGAATAATGCCTCGGCCTCGCTCGCGTTGGCAACTGCGGGCTTTTCCAGAAGAACATGCTTGCCCTTGCTGAGTGCCTTCAAGGCCCACTCGCAATGCAGGCCGCAGGGAAGCGGGATATACACAGCGTCAATAGACAGGTCATCAAGGATGGCTGGAGGCACGCCCGCGATCAGTCAGTCAACACCATACTTCCGAAGGAAAGTGTGGAAAGAACGTGCCTTCGTAGCTGTCATGGACTTGAGGTATGCCGTGCTTTTTGGCATAGTCTATGGCCTTCTGCTTGTTGCGGGCCGCTACAGCCTGGATGATCACCTCGGGATGCGTCTTGGCCGGTTTAATCAACGCGCTTGGCCTGGGAGAGAGTCAACAATTTGAGCATCTTAGGCTTAGCAAGGTAAGACTCACGCGATCTTAGCGGCACCGAGAATACCGAACTTCAAGGCGTTTGGTTCCTTGGGAAGCTCAGAAGGAGAGTAAATCTGCCAATTGCGGGTAATGAAAGCAATTATAGAAGCCATACACACTCGGTCTCTTGTGCCAACAAGTTCAAGACAGTCTTCAATTCTCTCGCTGTCTTTCATTGCGAATTTGATGGCAAAGAGCGCGCTGTGCGGGTTTATATACAGGCCGTTGCAATCTCAACAGGAGGTAATTGTTTCAACCCTCCTATCCGATAATCGAGATGCGACGACACTGGCTGACAGTTTTGCCATTTCCAAACATGCTTTATGCCTCTGGAGTCATACTGTCATATCTGCTGGCTGACATTTTTGCCATTTTCAGCCTAGCTTCAGAAGCCTAGCTAATTTCCTCAGCAGCTCAGCTCTTCCCGGACAAATGCCCTCGCGTCATCACTTCTTCCCCCTAACTGCATCAACACATATCTATTTACTGGGTAATCTTGTTCGCTATATCTCTTTATTGGGTGTGACCATCACTCCAATCTGTAGCTACACTTGTAACGCTATCACGATGTCAGCCTCGAGCGCCACAGAAATCAGCCACCCAGGAACGGCCGCAGATGAAAGGAGGCTGCGAAAGAGACTGCAAAATCGATTGAACCAAAGAGCGTTCAGTGCGTGTTATAGGATTTTTTCATCCCACCCTTACGCGTCTTTCGTAGTTCGTCTCGTATTTGCAAGAATGGTGGGCTAACTCCTCTCACAGGGTCTCGTCATCGAGAAAAAGAGAATATCAAGGCAAAAAAACCGAAGAAGCAGCATCAATACCAAATAGATCGCTGGCGACTCGACGAAGACCAGGACTTCTTGTCGACTCAAGCTCCGTCAAAGTGCGGCGACAGCAAGCCTTCTGCCGTCCGAGAGTCCTTTGAAACGACGACATCTTCGGCGGGCGCTGAAGATTTGGCAGGAAGGACGGCAAGAGCGGGTGGATAAGGTGCTTGCGCTGAATGCACAAATTGATCGACGGAGGATGCCAGGTTTGGAAGAGGATGCAGGGAATGCGCCGTTCGACTTAGCATGGTTGTATAAGCCAGACTTTGTGGAAATGGTGGACGGGTGGCTTTCACAGGATGCTCGAAATGATAGTTGGTTTCACAATAGATATAGCTAATCAATAAATTCAAATTACATTCCATAATACCTGGATGTAGACAGCCCTACTCCACAACCTCGAACCGCACAGACCGGTCTGTACCAAAAGCATCCTTCCAATCATCCCACAACTTCTTCAGCTCCCTGATATACTCCTCATGTAACTGATCAATATACTTCTGATCGGGATCCCACCGCTGCTGCGTAACGGCAATCGGCTTCCCCACAACAACATTCAACGGCCGTCGATACGGACAGAACACGTTGAACCGCCCCGTAGAAAACGCCACCTTGTGCCCAACAGCCCATTCCCAGGCTCTAGCCACAAGCCCCAGACCAAACGAGGAGGATACATGCACGCAATCGAACAGCTCGTTCTCCCCGAACGCAATGACAGGGACAATGTCCGCCCCCGTCTCGACCGCCACCCGCACAAATCCCTTGCGGATTTTGACCACCACGCCCATTGTTCCCGGCCGGGCAATGTTATACTCGCGGCTGCCGCCCACGGTGATGGTAATCGCACGGCCCATGCCCCGGCCGTCGTGCCCGCCCCGCGTGAGGTGGCGTATACACGAGGAGCGGGACACGCCACTGACCCCGGTGCAGAGGAGGTACTCCCTGTACAGCGGTTGGTAGAACGACTCGTCTTTCATCAAGAGGGTGTTCGTGATGCCCGGGAAGAGGTGCGAGAAGCCGACCGGGTCCGCGGCAAGGGCGCCCAGTGCCCCTCGGAGGGCGATGCCGTGGGGATGGTAGCCGAAGATGTACTTTTTGCGGGGAGAGAGAGGCGCAGAGCGATAGAGGCGGAGGGGGAAGTAGGAGGCGTAGGCCTTCCAGATCCAGGATGTGCGGAATCTGTCATGTCGAAGAGATAATGTGCCGGTTTTGTGTGCTTTGGCGAGGTATTTGATGTAGATGATGTAGAGGAGGACGAAGAGGCGCAGACGAGGGACGAGGAGAAGTGAGTAGCCGATTAGAGGGAGAAGAAACCAGGTGTTGCATAGTGCAGCCACAACGAGGGTTTCTTTCATATCTCTCAGAATTGGTACCCCTCGGGCAGATTTGCTCTTGGTTTCAGGGGCTTGCGCTGTTTGTAGCACCATACCCGCACGATTCTTGACCTCGTAGAGAGGACACTTGGTGTCTTCCACCTTCACCTCTGGCATGTGCATCGCCATTTTGTCCGGGTGGAGGGCAAGCTCGACAATCTTCTCGGCAGCCGCTACACGTCCCTCCTTCTTATGGCAGAGCTTGGCCAGCTCGAGTGCCTTGGTCTTGTACGACGTGTTGCCCATGACCTTGAGCAACGCCTTGCTCAGCTCTTTGGCATCAATGTTAGGTGCACGGCTCTTGTTGCCATAAACACCAATCCCGAGCCATTCGGCGCGAGCTGCATTCTCGTAGCAGTCTTGCCACGCAGGAAGTACCACATGGGGGACACCGTTTCTATACCTGTTAGTTTGGACAGGGACAGTGTGCCAGGAAAGAAACTTACTGAATTGCTTCATACCACGAGTTCGCACCACCATGGTGAACAGAGCAGACGATCTGCCCGGTCTGCAGCATGGCCATGGGCTCAACCTCGAACCAGGGTCGGATTCGGGCGCTGTCCGCCTGGACCTCTGCCTGAAGGGGCTTGATCGATTGAGCGTAGACATTATCCTCGTCATGTGGATGTTTGGGCAACTTCCACAGAATCTGAACCTTCTCTCCCTTCCAAGAGGCGAGGAACATCTTCAGTCCTCGGGCAATGTTCTCCGCTACTTTCGGATCTGGCGCATACAGCGTTCCCAGATTCACCAGAACAGTCGGCGCCTTACGCAGCCAGCTTGCAAGTTCTGGGTCCTGTTTCTCGACAGATGCAGTGGGAAGAAGGATTGGTCCACAAGGGAGGATGTTATCTGGCACGTCCATGGGCCAGTCCAGCTCTTTCAACGCCGGCGACAGATGGAAGCGGTCCGGCCGCCAGGCATCCGCAAAGGGGAAGCGACCATGGATCTTGTGCCGGATGCGCCATTCGCGGATTTCTCGGCGGCGGCCGCTGCCATGGTACATTTTAGCCGTTTTGAGAACGGCGAGGGCATTGAGCGGGATGAGGTGGGGAGGAAGGGGGAAGGGGAATCCCGTTCCGGGTCTATTTCAGTTAGTACACAGCCTTCTGCTGAGATAAGTGACTTACAAAGGATACTTCCACAAAGCAGCGGAATGCGGCTGCAGGCCGAGGACGATATGAGTAAGGGATGTGGTGTTGATCAAGATGGCCGTGTACCCAGCGTTGTAAGCGGCATCGCGGCCCTGCAGAAAGAAAAAGTCGGCTGCAATCACCGAAGGCTGGACGGACTTGATGATTTCCATGCAGCACTGGTAGATGTCGACATATTCGTCTTCTGTCCAGCCCCAGATGTCCTCGCATAGGGACTGGAAGCCAAGCACGGCGCCGCTGTAGCCAGGAGGGTGGAACGCTCCTCGCTTGCCTGTGCGAATGAAAACAGCTGTATTGGATGGGCCGCGAATGGGATGGAAATGTATGCGAGAACGAAAAGAGTCATTGTATGAAGCAGCATTGTCATTCAAGAGTTTGTTCACCCGTCCCTCCAGCGCGGGGAATGAGGCAATATGGACGTCCACATCTCCTCGGACAAGGAGCTCATGGGTGATGGCCAGGATGATGTTTGTCTGGCCATGCTCGCTATTAGCGAGGAATAATACCCGAGTAGGAGTAGCCATGAGAAAGTGAGTATGAGACAGATGGTAGGATGGGGACAAGCACGTAGTGGGACAGGTTTTTATATGACAATCGATGAGACGAATCAACCAGTGTGATTCAGATAGATGATCTAAATATGACCAGTGTTTAGTATGAACCTTCTGACCAATTGGTTCAGTCAATTCCGGGATCAAAATTGGGCATCTGATTTTCTCGACTTTGTATCCAGGGTTCGTTTCATATCCATGATTCCATCCATGGTCTGCCGGATCCACCCACCGCCAGAATGGGATCGGCATCGAGTCTATCACATCAACACGCTCATCATCGAAAGTAATGGATCAGGGGAATTACGGACAAACGCCGAGGAGTATCACAATCTGAGCAAGTCCCACCCGAAACTCTAGAGCATCCGGATTGTCAGACGTCTTCGCGGTGTTTACCCAAATCTAGCCCTAGCTGATCGAACGCTGAGAAATGAGATTGTAGAGGGATAAATAGCACAAGATGTCCTGTCATTCGACAATGACCATTATTCGGAATACACTCGTTCTCTGCAGATTATCAATATGTTCCTCGTTGCAATGTCGCTGCCTTCGGGGCCCTTCTCTGAGATGTCCTATCCAGTTGTCCCTTTTCCCGTACTTGCTATCATTCTGGTATGATTGCCCACGATGCTGGCCGAGGAGAGATGCTGACCAGAGTAGATTCCCTGTCTTCTACTTCTTGCGATACAACTGGCGCCAAAGGGACCAACCATCAAAGGTGTCCCTGGATCATTCTTTGACCTCTATCTCTGCGGTGTAAGTCCAATCCTGACAAACCAGAATCGCCCTAATATCCGCAGATTGGCACCAAAGTTGCCTTTGTCTCCGGACGAAGTGCGCACTACTTTCACTCCCTTCATCAATCCTATGGTAGGACTCGCACTCGTCGTTGTGATTGAGGCTAACAAACTAGGCAACATCGTCCGATTCGCTCCCGGTCAAGCAACCACCAACACCATCAAAAGCCTGCGTCAGATCTACGGCACCGGGACTGGCAAAGGCGCAGCGTTTCTGAAAACTGGCTTCTACAAGAACATCTCCCGTCGTAACGTCTTCACCGCTGCGGATCCTGTCTACCATGCCTCGGTGCGCAAGCTTTTCGGTCCCTCGTTCACTCCTGGTTCTATGCAAGCCCACGCCGGAGTCATCCGCGAGTGCATCCTGCGCTTGCATGAGGTGATCCGCGGCAAGCTCGAGACAAAGAACACAGTCTCCTTGAACGAGCTGCTCTACTGCCACTCGGTGGACACCGTTTCCGAAGTCCTGCTGGGCAAGCCACTGGGCTGCCTGAAACGCGGCAAGCCCTACTTCTGGACCGAGCAACTGCCCCGTATTTTCTACTGGGCGACAATCCGGGATCAGTTCGAGGGCTCTGGCGTGCCAACGCTGATCAAATGGCTGCTCCGTCGGTTTCTGCGCAAGGGGATCCGTCTTCGCAGCGAGCAGGCCCGCATGCGACTCATCAACGAGTAGGTCCTTCTCTCCGGTACCTGACACAAGCTAACGTATCAGACAACTGCGTGCATCACACACCCGACGTGATATCATGGTCGAGGTGATGGAGCGATCAGACGGCGGCGACCTCCCCGAGGCTGAGATTGCAGAGAATTTCTCGGCGATTATGCTTGCGGGCTTTCACACCACGCAGAACGCCCTCTGCGCGGTCATTTACCTGGTGCTTACCCACCCGGAGAGCCATGTGAAGCTGGTGCACGAGTTACAGACGGCATTTGCGTCGGCCGAGGATCTCTCGGGGGATGTCGCGGCGCAGCTGCCCTATCTCAACGCTGTCATTACGGAGGCGTTGCGGTTGTATCCGCCTGTGCCGCTAGGGGGGCCGCGTGTTTCACCCGGGGCGTATGTGGATGGGATGTATATCCCTGCGGGGGTGAGTGACAGGTTCTTGACAACTGAGACACTAGCTAATATGGTCGTTATAGACTGAGATCTGTACGTCGTTGTTTGCTCTCCATCACAATCCGGAGTACTTCAGCTCCCCATACGAATTTATCCCGGAGCGATGGAGGGAGCCTGGATCGACAGACAGGAAAGAGGCGGTGCAGCCATTCCTGGTTGGAAGTCGAGCTTGTATCGCCAAGTACTTTGCCAAACAAATGCTCCAATTGACTCTGGCTGGTTTCTTTTTAGAGTTCGAAGCGGAGTATGTGGGCAAGGTGAAGGATTGGCAGAGGCAGTCTCGGTGTTATGCTTTTTGGGAAGTGCCGGACCTCAAGGTGAAACTGAGGAAGAGGTGATTGCTTGATAGTTTATTGTGCTCTGTTTCTTTTAGTGTGATGTATCTCATACCCGTAGTTACCCCATGATTAGTTTTGTTTGACCTTGAAGGTGGATGAATCGTTCAGAGTTAAGAGTTAAGATTACTTGGTATGCACAGATGGATAGCCACTATGATACTATCTCCAACGGTGACGATCTCTGAATCCACCGTGCAGGTTTCGCATCAAACCTTAACACCAGCCTTATTGATGTTGAAGTCTAGATCATTCGACTCTTAGACTCTTAATTAGGTTTCGCGTGAGCCCAAATTTCAGACTGTTTCACGTCAACGCTGCTACTCCGTATAGCCGTGTTAAACACCGGATGTTTGAACCATGGAACGATGGATATCTGAGAATTGAGGTATCATCTGCACCTCATAATTCATCTATCGCAAACAGCCATGTCTAGATTGCTACTTTTTGGTAATATTCCGGACCCCAAGGTAGATTCCAATTATTAACGTTGCCATTTGGCCGAAGAGAAGTTCGAGCCAAGTGAGACGCTAGTTGCTTCAACTGTCGATCCCAGCAACAACAGCCCCATTTCCCATTTTTGACTTTCATGATGCGACTGAGCACGGTCTCATCCTGTCACTGATCGTCAAAGCAATGCCAACTATCACAATCACCGAGGTTGCGGTACTGGGGCTTCGGCAGTTGTACCCGAGGACATTGTGGTTCCCTCTGTCGTCTGATTTTTGAAACTCGTGGATCCCTGTTCGCTGAAACGTTCCACTATGATGCTTTGAGTAACGACTGCGAGAAAGTATCGATGGGACAACAGGGTCTCAGACATGCCCCGTTCGCCCGTTGACAGCCCTGACATTCCTACCTACCGAGACATGTCGTGGCTGGGTTGTCCAGTCGAGAGCAAGAACATACACGATGAAGTCAAAGGAAGAGATAGTGCTAGAAGCCCTGCCAAAAGTGAGTAGACATGGCATACTCATCAGAAACAAACTGACTGAAGCAGTCTCCCGGTGGGAGTTCCGCGACACTCTGCCTGTCTGACGCGGAGAAAGACATCCTGCACAGGCAGATACATGCCCCAGAGTCGCATGTAGGCTTCTTTGGTATATACCGATATGCCTCGCGATGGGACATTGCGATCCTCGTCGTCAGCTCGGCATGCGCCATCATAGGTGGTGCTGCGCTACCTCTGTTCACTGCAAGTAGTCCTCATCTTGTCACCATTGCTAGACGCTGACGAGAAAGGTCCTCTTCGGCAACTTGACCTCGACCTTTCAAGAGATTGTCAGCGGACAAACCACCTACGCGCATTTCCACCATGAGCTCACCAAGTACGTCGTCTACTTTGTCTACCTGGCCATCGCAGAGTTCACCACCATCTACCTGGCCACTGTCGGTTTCATCTACACAGGCGACCATATCGTGCAGCAGATCCGCGTCGAGTACCTCCGCTCCATTCTGCGACAGAACGTCGCCTTCTTCGATACCCTCGGCGCGGGAGAAATCACGACCAGGATCACCGCCGACACGAACCTCATCCAAGACGGGATCTCGGAAAAGGTCGGTCTGGCGTTGACGGGGCTGTCGACATTCGTCACGGCGTTTATCATCGCGTACATCAAGAGCTGGAAGCTGGCGCTGATCTGCAGCGCCACGCTGGTCGCATTGCTGTTGATCATGGGCGGCTGCTCGACGGCCATGCTCGGCTTCAACAAGCGCGCGCTGGATTCGCAAGGTCAAGGCGCCAGTTTAGCAGAGGATATTCTGGATTCCATCCGTACGGTGGTCGCATTTGACGCGCAGGAGACGCTGGCCGCAAAATACGAGAAACATCTCAAAGATGCAGAGAGACCGGGGATGAGGGCGCAGATGATATTCGCGCTGATGGTGGGAGCACTGCTCTGTGTCATGTACCTCAACTACGGGCTGGGATTCTGGATGGGCTCGCGGTTCCTGGTTGACGCCGGCAGCCATGTCAAGGCCGGGGATGTGTTAACTATCCTCATGGCGATTATTCTCGGATCGTACAATCTGGGCAATATTGCGCCCAACACCCAGGCACTGTCCACCGCGGTGGCGGCAGCAACCAAGCTGTATGGCACGATCGATCGACAGTCTCCTCTGGATGCGTGGCTAGACAAAGGAATGACCCTGGACCATGTCCGGGGAAATATTGTTTTGCAGAATATCCGCCATGTCTACCCTTCTCGGCCAGAGGTGATCGTCGCCAACGACCTGAGTGTGTATGTTCCGGCCGGCAAAACAACCGCCTTTGTCGGCCCTTCAGGATCCGGCAAAAGCACAATCATAGGGCTCATCGAACGCTTCTACAGCCCTGTAGCAGGGAGTATCATGCTCGATGGACATGATATCGAGCATTTGAACCTGCGATGGCTCCGACAGCAAATGTCGCTGGTCTCGCAGGAACCACGGCTCTTCGCCACCACCATCGCAGAGAATATCCGCGTTGGCCTCATCGGCTCGGAATATGAACGCGAACCACCTCAGCTGATTCAGAAACGAATCGAAGATGCTGCCCGCATGGCAAATGCGCACGATTTCATCATGGCGCTGCCGGACGGTTACGAGACTAACATCGGCGGTTTCTCCCTTTCCGGAGGCCAGAAACAGCGCATCGCAATTGCCAGGGCCATCGTCAAGGACCCGAAGATTCTGCTGTTGGACGAGGCCACCTCTGCTCTGGATACAAAATCCGAGGGGCTGGTGCAGGCAGCCCTGGACAAGGCGTCCCGAGGCCGGACCACGGTGGTCATTGCCCACCGGCTTTCCACAATCAAAGAAGCGCATAACATCGTCGTCTTGGCCAATGGGTCCATCGTCGAGCAGGGCTCGCACGACCGTCTCATGGATAGAAAGGGCGTCTACTACGGCATGGTCAAGGCGCAGCAGATCAAGAAGCGACTCACGCGGATGAGCCAATTGATGCCTCGAAGCCCAATGCAATCCTTTTTCTTTGACCTCGACTACCCAACCGACGACGACCTCTCCGAGTATGAGCACCAGGACGACGCGTCTGATCTTGGGCTGAAGACGGGGGAGAGAATGAAGAAGCACACGTCTCGGCTGTCAATATCCGCGCTGCCGATGCACTTTCACAAAGCCAAAGAGGTATCCTATTCACTCTGGACTCTCTTCAAATTCCTTGCCTCGTTCAACCGGCCCGAATGGCCGCTTCTTGCTTTGGGACTGTGCGCATCCGTTCTCGCCGGAGGCATCCAGCCCTCGCAGGCCGTCCTCTTCGCCAAAGCCGTCAGCACGCTGAGCCTCCCACCCTGGGAGTACCCCAAGCTCCGCCACGACGCGAACTTCTGGTCCCTGATGTTCCTCATGATCGGGTTGGTCACATTCTTTCTGTACGGCTTCCAAGGGAGCCTATTCGCATACTGCTCCGAGAAAATGGTGTACCGTGCCCGCAGCCAGGCCTTCCGGGTCATGCTCCATCAGGACGTTGCCTTCTTCGACGAGCCGGAAAACACCACGGGCGCGCTCACAGCCACGCTGAGCGCGGAGACAAAGCAGCTGGCCGGCATCAGCGGCGTCACCCTCGGCACCCTGCTCATCGTCTCGGTGAACCTGCTCGCCTCGCTGGGCGTGGCGCTGGTCATGGGCTGGAAGCTCGCGCTGGTGTGCATCTCCGCCGTGCCGGTGCTCTTGCTCTGCGGCTTCGTCCGCGTCTGGATGCTGGATAGATTCCAGCGGCGCGCAAAGGCGGCGTATCAGCAATCCGCCAGCTCGGCCTGCGAGGCTGCCTCGGCGATCCGCACTGTCGCCTCGCTGACGATGGAGAGGGAGGTTCTGGAGTCGTACCAAAAGCAGCTGCAGCACCAGCTCAGGCGGGATATCCTCCCTATCGTCAAATCATCCCTGTTATATGCCAGCTCCCAGGCCCTGCCGTTCTTGTGCATGGCGCTGGGATTCTGGTACGGCGGGACGCTGCTGGGACATGGAGAGTATTCCCTATTCCGGTTCTACGTGTGTTTCAGTGAGGTGATCTTTGGTGCACAGGCGGCTGGGACTGTGTTCTCGCATGCCCCGGATATGGGCAAGGCGAAGCATGCCGCGGGGGAGTTCAAGCGACTCTTCAGTGGTAGGACTATGAGGTCCGTGACTCACCGCCAGATATCACGGCCGGATATGCGCGGGCTGATCGAATTTCGCGACGTCTCGTTCCGGTATCCAAGCCGTTTGGACCAGCCGGTGCTACGCCGGCTGAATCTGACTGTCAAGCCCGGCCAGTTTGTGGCGCTGGTCGGGGCGAGTGGCAGCGGGAAGAGCACGGTCATCTCACTATTGGAGAGATTCTACAGCCCGTTGACGGGAGGAATCTACATCGATGGTCAAAACATTGCTACATGGGATCTGACATCGTATCGAAGTCATCTAGCTCTGGTCAGCCAGGAACCCGCCTTATTCCAGGGGACGATCCGCGAGAATATCCTCCTGGGGAGAACGAGGCCCTACACCTCGGAACAAGATCTCATCAAAGCGTGTAAAGACGCAAACATCTACGATTTTATCATTTCTCTCCCGTACGTCGTCCATCCCTACAAATTATGTACCGCTCTAATGCACAGCAGACAAGGCTTCGACACCCTCGTCGGCACAAAAGGCGGCATGCTCTCCGGCGGCCAAAAACAACGCATCGCCATCGCCCGCGCCCTCATCCGGGACCCACGCATTTTGCTTCTCGATGAAGCAACTTCAGCGCTGGACTCCGAGTCTGAAAAAGTGGTGCAGGCGGCTTTGGACGCCGCGGCAAAGGGCCGCACCACCATTGCCGTGGCTCACCGGCTGAGCACCATTCAGCGGGCGGATGTGATCTACGTGCTGGATCAGGGGGAGGTCGTCGAGTCAGGGACGCACGATGCCCTGCTTCGGAAGAAAGGCCGATATTTCGAGTTGGTCAACCTGCAGAATCTGGGTTGAGGGCTCATGATTCATGGATCAGTTGTGGGGCGCTCGGCGATCAGGGTTTGCTTTGTGCGTGGGCTTGTCGATTTAATTTATCTGGTGTAGTTTCGTACTAGACTGAAGGATTCATTGTTTCAGATTTCTCAGTACCAAGTGATCAAATGTTGAGTTTGGCAACGAGTTAGACCGATTGGGAAATTTGTCCGAAGATTCCCCAAATTTGCGGCGAACCACGAACTATCAACGACCCATCACCACAGCAGGAATGGTTTGCGAGGATATGAGACATGGCCCACATCCATAACAGTTCGCGGCGTTCGAAAGGATTGCATTCCAGGGTCTCGGCAGGGAACCCTCACTCTCCATCTGCGCTCTCGAACAGACTATTCGAGACATTCTGAAACGAAACAGAAAATACAGATCACAATGCGATCAGACCTTGGTCATGAATCATTCTGCCTGACTCTCGTTCTGAGAGCAAATCCCGATGGCCGTAGATATAAAGCCCGCCCTCAAGGGACGTCCCATGAATCAACAGCTCTCCCGAAGACAAGACAAGATGAACCTGCGCATATTGACCCTCGTTCTCGCCGGCCTGGCCGCTGCAAGCCCGGTTGACCTCCAGGAGCGTCAATGTACGTATACCTCCTCGCCATCTCTGGCTCGTGCTAACATGACTAAGTATCCTCCGGCAACGAACTGCGAGACGGCTCCTGCAAACCCATCACCTTCATCTTCGCCCGTGCATCAACCGAGCCAGGCCTCCTGGTATGACCTCATCCCCTGTTCTCCATGGCAGAACTAACGTAACAGGGTCTATCCACCGGCCCGGCAGTCTGCAACGGCCTGAAAGCCGCCAAACCAGGCCAGGTAGCCTGCCAGGGCGTCGGACCAGCCTACACAGCGGACCTGGCGTCCAACGCTCTACCGGACAACACCTCCCCCGCCGCCATCAACGAAGCCATCGGGCTATTCAAACAGGCCGCGTCCAAATGCCCCGACACGCAGATTGTGGCCGGCGGATACAGCCAGGGCACGGCCGTCATGGACGGGTCCATCAAGCAGCTTCCTGATGATGTCAAGGCGATGATCAAGGGGGTGGTTCTGTTTGGGTACACGCGCAACGCGCAGGAGAGGGGGCAGATTGCCGATTTCCCCAAGGATAAGGTCAAGATCTACTGTGCGGTGGGGGATCTGGTCTGTGATGGCACGTTGGTTGTGACGGCGGCGCATTTCACGTACGTGGCGGATACGGGGGATGCGACTCGGTTCTTGCTCGGGAAGTTGTCGTCGACCAGTTCGGCTAGCGGGTCGACTTCTTCTGGCTCTACTTCGTCTGGATTTTCTAGCCTTTTTGGTGGTTTCTAAGGGTGATGGCCGGGGATTGGAGCCAGCTCTCACTTCCATGATTCATACACAGCTGGAGTCTAGATCCCGGCTTTAGATATTGATGTGAGCAATTCCGTAGTCAAAGACATGTTTAATTTATGAAGTCTGGATCCCCGCGTACGTAGTGACTATCACTCGGCTCTCTCGCGAAGTACCTTCTTAAGGTTAACCACTTCCTTGTCCATAGCGACTCTGCGAAAGACGTGTTTGTCTTGCAAAGAGCTATCCTGGGACCTGGGATGCTGAATATTTTTGCAAACCTCACCATATCTCTACTCCCTGGCAGTTGGATTGCAGTTAGCAGATTGAGCGGGCATCCATTCAAAACATAAAGGAGGAGGGATCATTGTTCTTTGCATGTGTAGGCAGGAAGAAATCTATCCAGTTGTGGCACCGGTTTCCTACATGTCGCCGCGCTATGCTGGAAAATAGTCCAAGAATTATGTGTATTGGACAATGCCTAGGATGTGATAACGACCTTTGATACTAAGAGCAAAGAGTAGTATAAGTAGACAGGCCATTCTCCTGAATTTACACTCAGTAATGTTTCCATATAGAAGAAATACCAGCGCAGCTGATTGCAATATCCCGCCAACCGCACATCTTTGGCTCTCAGCTCCTCTATCTCCAGACAATCCACTGACATTATGTATAAGAACATGAAATTGTAGGCGCCTCTCAGGCTTCATCCTCAAGCTCCGCCTCTTCTTTCGCCTTGAACTCGGCGATTTCCCGCTCGTCCAGGTTGGTAATGACCTCGATCACATCGGCATGCCCGTCTGCACCGCTAGTTTTTGCATAAAAAAATAAAGCCTTAAAGTATTCCTCCGGTTCGTTCACCCTGTATAACAGGGCATCTTCCTTGATAACATCTAGCACAGTCATGTTATTTGACCCGCCGACGATCCCGTTTTCCACATCGCCATAGATATGGTAGCGTGCCCATACAGCGTCGCCAAATCGGGCATCACGTATGGCATCGACGTACAGGCTCGTCCACGGCTCTATGAACTTTGTGCCCGGGCTGGGGTTGAGAACTTGCTGGATAGGAAGATCCAGGAATAGCTGCTCAACTGGCTTAGTTTCCGAAATGTTTAGGCTCATGGCTTTGATTTCACGTTGTTAGTCTGAGGGTTTGACAATAGGAAGACTAGGGAATTGTGGCAGGATCATTCATACCTTCGAAATCTTTAGTTGAAGAATGCACAGGTCAAGTATCTGAGAGGGCGGAGAGGCTTGGTAGATAGCAATCAGCGAAGAAAACAAAATCCAAGAAGTGAGAAGTCTGGGAAGCCAGTGGGCTTAAGTACACGCGTCCTAATTTAGTGCATTTAAGAGAACGCAAGCCTTGCACTTATTTAGCAGCCCTACTACTTACCAGCCTTGAGCTTATACCCCTCTAGGAAGTACACAGTGTTAGTATCCACTATAGGTATACTCAGGATACCAAGTTCACCATATACACTGTACTCACGTCGATATCGCATGCATTCAGATTGGGGCTCGCTCATAGTCTGAGTCACGAACTAATTTCAGTTTCAATGAATGGACTAGGTCCTTAAGGAACAAGCTAACAGTGTTAATTATGCTTATCTTGGGCATCAAATAGAAGATAATCTATGGAAATAATCAAAGTTTTACTTGATGATCAACAGTATGTTAAGTTGTTCTCTGCTTTTCTTCTAGATACTTTACAGTGCCGCGGCCATCTTCTTCTCAGACTCTTTCTATAGGCGACCTAGCTGGGTATCCAAGTCAAGTCTAATAGTAGAGCCCCTCTATCTTTTAATCCAGCTTCATTTGCCTAACTGGGAAGCCAGCTTAGCATGTAAGTGGGTCATTGGGACAACGGGTCGTCCCAGTTTCCCTAGATACCTAAGGCTAAGCTTTAGTTGCACAAATTGTCTTGAGCCCGTGGATAACTAGCTATAGTACTTGGAGTAGCTCAGCTTTATAGTAATATATCTTATCACTGCTAGTATGGAGCTAATGGGAAGTTCAGAGCCTTGTGGTCACTCTGTAATAGCTATATTTCTATGAATTAGTTAATCTATAGCTATTTCCATTACTCCAGTAGCTAAAAGCTTTTAGAAACCTCTTCTTTTTTATCCTCTTCAAAATGTGCTTGCTCTCTATTCTAGCTGCTGCTGCTTTCACATATAAAAGTGCTTGCTATAAGCATTATAAGTAAGTCTTCCAGAGTAACTTTTCTTGGACCTTTATATGCAAGATGTCTTTGATAACACCACCAGAATGAATCTTATTGAACCCTGGGCTATAAAATATATTAAGTCACTATGTAACAAAAGGTATAGTAATGCTATTTAGGCATAATACTATATTAATAGGGATGTAGAAGATAGTATCGTCAGTGGCTCAAGCAATATGACTATGCTTAATGTTATTGTGGAAGATGCTCGCGAGTACAGAGTAAATAAGCCAGACCTTTACCGAAGCCCTATCTTTCTATGCTCAAACCAGCAGCGAGGATTCCCAAGCTACCGATGTGCTGGCTCTCATTTGTCGTATTGGCGAGGAGGATGTCACTGAGCTTGAGAAACGCAAGACATATGGGATCAGCTGCAGCACAGATTGGCTCGCCTACAAGTATAGTTGTGCTAATCTCCTCACTCTTATGTCCGAGAGTAAAATATTAATTAGTAATATGTAAAGTGTCTACAGTTACAGCAACTATCATCTCAGGGTCGGGCCATATAAAGGCTCTTTAACTAATTTAATAAAGTGGATGGCTTATGCAGTGGCTAAGCTTATCATACCAGAGTATAAGTATATACTGGCATGTTATAGCTATAAGACTGTCTCTAGTTACTCACCAAAGAATTCAGGGCATCGCAAGATTTATCTGAGCAGGAAGAACTCGGGCTGCTCTTAGACCGTGTGGCATGCCAGCTGGTTGTTGATTGGGTCTTGAATTAGGCATTTCCCTCTCCATCAGAGAAGTCGATCAGAAGTAAAATATACAAAGCTTGGACTCTGTGCTCGGATCTTCTGGTGATTTATCTAGTAGTATAAATTACACATTAGATAGTCAGTAGTTAGAAAGAATCAGACCTTCTTTACTTTTCTTACTTGTATACAAAATACTAGTGATTTCCAAACCTGTAATAGTAAAGCAGTTTCCAACAGGATATAAGGCTTGTTGATGAGTATCAAAACAAACAAGTCCAAAGATGACAGCCAATCATCAGTAGTTCATAACACGAATGATGAACGGTAGACAATCAGTGGTCTAAGCCTTGGAGGGATTCCTGATAATACAACGCTGGAATATATTGGCTTGACTGCCACCATTGAATATCCCAGAAGAGTAATTTAGATGCATCTCACCCATGGTGCTGTCAGGCAGTGCAAGTTTATGGTTCTGGGGATCTTCAGCTCTTGGCGCCGCAGCGGGATGCACAATAATTACTCTTTCGGTGCTAGTGTGGATTCGACGATTGCCGAAAATGGTATACCATCAGATCAGCCATGAGATGATCAAGAGCATTGTAATGAAAATCACTATGATCACGTATATATAACCCCATACATGTTCAACCAGTCTCTCGGGCAATTCAACCGAAGGCAGCGACACCAACTCAATACCAAGTACCATGGACAAGCTATTCTCCAGCAAAAGCAAATCCCCCCAGCCAGTCTGGACCTTCACCATCGACAGCTCCGGGGAAACAATCTCCTGCTCAGACAGACCGGTCTTCCGGCTCACCACCCAGAAATCAAAACCACACCTCACCATCTCGCGTGTCCCACCCCCGGGACCGTGGGC